CAGGAGCATTTCGACCAGAAACAATGTTTCCGAACACCACATCCTCGGATTCGGAATGGGACCCGATCAGAATCCCCCAGGCTGCACGAATCATCGAAGCCATCGTAATTCCCGGCATGTTGTCCGTGCGGGGAAGAGTCATCTCGTAAATCGAAGTGGTGTCCGACACCGGTTGCTTTGCGGTAGAGACAGTGCACGGGAATTCGTTCCGCATCGCGCCAGCGAGATATTGTTGCCAGAAGTCGTTGGACGCCTTGGCGTCGGTCTGGACCACATGGTCCATGAATGCCTTGAAGGTCACATCTTGAGCCGGCTGCTGACCCTTGTATGCCTTGTCAATACGTTCAAAGACAAGATCTAGTGTCCAGGCGTCGTAGACAGCGTGGTGAGCGGTCCATACGAAGATCCATCCGTGCTCCCCGGGAGCAAGCCCGTAGCGGGTTAAAGCATCTCCTGCCCCCATAGGCTGCTTTTTGTCATTTGCCAAGTACTCCTCGAGGCTTTCGCCAGTACGCCAGTCAATATTCCCCTGGATAACAGCCTGTAGCGATACCGACTGCTGGCGGTAGATGATGCGCGTCCGCAGGATGGGGTGTGCGGTGACTACGTCCTGGCATGCCTGCTTGAATCGTTTCAGGTCAATGTTCGGACCGAGAGCAAGAGTGTGCTGCGCCATGTACACTCCATTGCGACTATCCGAGAGCGCCATCAGACCTTCCTGCATCGCGGTGCAAGGGTAGAGGTCCTCGATAGCTGACTTGTCGACGCGGCACTGCTCGGCTGCAGCGTCGAGCACGCTGTTGAGATTCTCGCTGGTGTCAAGCAAGGAGAACGGCACATCTTCAAATGGCTGGATGCTGTCGAGCGGAATGGAAGCTTCTGCCATATCGTCCAGAGTCGGATGGGTGAAGACATCTGCCACACTCAACCCAATATTTTCACACCCGCAAAGATTCACGAGTTTCATGCCATCAATGGAGTTGCCACCCAGCTGCAGAAAGTCATCATCTGCTGAAATCGATTCCTCCTCAACCTGCAGGACTTCAGCCCAGATTTTGCGAAGCACAAAGCCAATCTCCGTGGCAGGCTCCCGGTGATTCTTCTTGGTGGCACCCGTCAGCTGAGCAACAGTCAACTGTGAGGCGAAATCACTGATCGCCTTGCGGTTGGTCTTGCCGGATGGGGACAGTGGCATATGGTTCAGCTTGACCATTGTTGAAGGAACCATATACGCGGGAACAGCAGCAGAGAGTTTGCTCTTCCAGCCCTGGGTCAGCGTCTCGAGATCCTCCGCTGATGCCGGGTCGGGAGTTCGGAAGTTATCCTCGAATCCCTTCCTGAGTGCCACGAAAGCCGCCAGCATGGGTCGGTCCTGCTGGTCAACCGGCTTTACAAGGCCTACTGCTGCCTCTGTACCGCGGGGCAACGCCTGGCGCAAGTGAAATTCCACCTCCTCCAGTTCAATACGCTGGCCGCGCAATTTCACCTGCATATCTTTGCGTCCGACCAAATTGATCAGGCCATTGCTTCCCAGTCGCACCAAGTCACCAGTCTTGTAAGCCCGAGCGGATGACGCTGCGCCCCGAATATCCTTCAGCCATGGAGTTTTCGAAATGAAGACAGAAGCCGTCTTCTCCGGCTGGTGGATGTACTCTCGTGCTAGCACGGGACCTTCGACCACCAGTTCACCGGTTGCACCGAGCGGAGCCAGCCGATCGTGATTGTTGATGTCGGCGACCCAAGCAGCGACGCCTGTACCCCGACCGATCGTTGAGCGCTCGACGGATCCCGAAAGATCTCCTGTCACGCAGACGGACGCTTCGCTTGCCCCGTACATGTTCAGCATCCGCACTCGACTGCGCCATGTGTCGAGGTTATCCTGTTGGACTGGCTCGCCGGCCAGCAGTAACGTCTTGATATCCGGAACGTCTTCTGGCGTGATGGATCGTAGGAATGAAGGTGTCGTGCAGAACCAGTTGGCTCGAAGTTCACGCATCGCGGCCGTTGTTCGACCTAACCGGTCCTCCTTGGAGGGCACACAGACACAGCCACCTTTAACCAGCGGGGTGAACAGCTCGAAAGTATTGACGATGAACGTATAGGCTGCGAATTGGAATGTGCGGGTGTCGCTGTTGATGTTTAGCGGTCCACTGTGTGCGCTGACACTAGAGCATACCGCGCGGTGCTCGTGCACGATCCCCTTGGGCTTTCCGGTACTACCGGAGGTGAAGATTGCGAAGGCTGCATCGCGGGGGCTGGCGCGCTTAGGGAGGTCTGGGCAGAGGGGAAGGCTTTGAACGAAGTCTGCGTCCACGGCGATGACTTGCGACACATTCGGCGCCACCATGTCCACATACCCCGGCGCCGTAAGCACCAGGTTGGCTTCTACTTCGCTTATGATTGTCCTCAGACGGTCTATCGGCTGGGCGGGATCGATGCAGACGAATGCGCCGCCGGCCTTCAGAACTCCCAACATGGAGACTACGGCCCAAAGGGACTTGTCGAAGCAGACGGGCACGAACACCTCTGGTCCGACGTTCTGGGAGATGAGGAAGTTGCCCAGTCGCGCAGTGTAGTCTACCAGTTCCGAGTACGATACGGATCCATCCCAGCATTCCAGCGCCGTGCGATCCGGGCAACGCTTCGCCGCTTCGTCGATCTGTTCATGCAGACAAGCATCGATGGTCGGAGACACCGTCGCATTCAGCTCCTGGAATCGCGTCCACGAGGACGGCCCAAGAAGATCCACCTCTCCGATTATGGTATGGGGTGCGTCGCGGATCGCCGCTGTCGCTTTCGCAATCGCTTCCGCAACTGCAGCTGCGATGCTGTCCCCGATGGCCTGCGCGGCATAATGAAGGGTCACTTGAAGCTCTTCTGTCGCATCGGCGACTGAGAGTATAAGGGGAAACTGACCAGTCAGCAGGGAAGATCGAGTGATGATTGGAGGACTGGGTTTACTTACATGAGAGGGATCGACTTCGGCAAGATATGGTTCCTCAGTCTGCGTCGACTTCCAGACAAGGGTGTTGAATGATCTGCTTATGGCCGCCCAGTCCTTGAAACTCTGGACGGTCGGTACATCCTGCGCCGGCTGTTGAACCGACGGCTGAAGCTGCGCCAGAGCAGTGTCGCCAGGGATCTCACCGTGGCACACCGCAAACCACAAGGCATCGGCCACCGTGCTGTCCGCCAACCCAAAAGAGAGGACATCGCTCCCCGTGTAATAGCGTAGTACGACCGTCCAAGCCTCTAACACGGCCTCGGTGGAGGATGCGCCCGCGCGCACGGAGATGGACTTGAACCCCGGCGCATTGCGCTGGAGATTCTCGGTCGGAAAGTGGCACAGTGCTGCGTCGAAGGCACCAGGCACGATCTGCAACATGACTGCGCGCGTCAAGTGGAAGAAGAATTAGGGGTATTAGGCCAAGTCGCGCTTGCTGATTACATATAGCTATAGGTGGTGTAAATGGGTGGTAGTTGAAGCGAGAGAGGTTGATGGGATTATGCAGGGAGGTAAGTTCGAGCGAGCAATTGCGAGCGAGAGAAATTTTGGGAGAATAGCCTGAGCTTCAGACTTCGCAGCTCCAGATCGACAAATGTTTCTTGTGATTGATAATTTGCAATCAGTAGGTCACTCACAGACTCACTGATAAGACAGACACTTTCTTTCTCTTCCAGATCCGGCTATGCTTCCGGGTGTGGACACACAGTATGGAGCTGAGTGTGCTGCTGTACCTGAGCATCAACCCTGGGTCCAATTCATTACCGCGGGTAACTCTGAGCTGGGGCTGACTCTGATCTTCTGTCTCCGCTGTAGCATTGGTATATGGGCATGAGTATGTGTGTGAGAGTGTGGATGCAGTGGATGAAGTGGCAAGACGTGTTCAGGGCTGCACTGGCTGTAAGGGCTAGTATGGCAGCTGGCAGCTTGTGTTTCGATACGGTTATGACCGTGACCGTGACCGTGACGGTGACGGTAAGCGATTAGATGTAGTTCCCTCGTCTGCTTCATCTTCTTCATCTTCTTCATCGACCCACAGTGGATCTCATCGTGGCCTTGGCACACTCTACGTCATGGGCTAAATGCCCTGGCAGGGGAGACGCTTGGACTTCTGCTCATCTTCCAACAGGGTCGCATAGATTACTGTTTGAGTACTCCGTCTACGCTAGAGATATGCCGAGTCTTCGGCACTCACTCAGGATCTAGGTGACTGCATTGACGGATGTCTCGTCCCTGGCTGCAGCGTTCATTGTGTGCTGTCAGAATGGTTCTATGATGGTGCATGCCTGGGATTGGAGGCCTTTCTTCACTGCACTTTGTTCTGTCTTCATGTTTGTGTTGATGAAGAAACAGACCGACACCATGGAAGAGTCTCGGGCATAGATCGGGAAGTACCGTGGACTCGGGACAGGCTGCTTTTCCCCGATCGGGAAATTGATATTCTTCACCCGCTGCGGCAAGAAAGCTCCACTCTTTCTTTTTTTTGTTTCTCATGGCTAAATCCCCTTCCGAACCCTTCCGCCAAAATCTTCATCGTCAATCGCAGTTCTGCTATTTCTGGACCTCGTGGATATCCTGTACTCCGTATGTATACGTATCCTCAAGCGACGATCGGCATAGCACCCACAATATGCTGGACCCTGCGCTGCACTCCTTTCCAGCCCTCTTATCAAATCAACCACTGGTACTCAATACTTTCTAGATATTTAGTGTCTCGACACGAATTTTCCTTCTCCGGCAGTGTTCGGATCCTACTCTGCGTTGAGGGTCTCTATCCTGGGTTTTGCGAGGTATCCAAGATTATGATCCCCTGTGCAGTGTGGTTTGGGAAGCTGCCAAGCGTAGAAATGGAGTCTGTAGAGATGATCCGTATAGACAGTCAGGATAAGTAGTGCGACGCTGGCACTCATCGACGGTGACAGGTGTTATCGCGGTTGTTTTATCATTGTCACTCCTTTGGTTATTGTTCTTACTGTTGTCTTGTACTTCCGTCATCATGAAGGATACTGAAAGCGTGCTGGTGCAGACCAACATCGATCGACGGACCTGCCATCGTGTAAAGCCGATGCAGGTCCTTGTTCTGGGCCTCTGCCGCACGGGAACCCTGTGTAAGTGTGCCACATCCTCCAGCGCAATTGCACGGTTGCTTTCGCATCCCCGTGCGACACTATCCCCTCTCGACCAACACTAACAACCCCCCAAAGCAACATGGCTCGCCCTCCAGGAACTCGGCTACGAGACCTACCACATGACCTCGATCATGCAGAACCCCAAGGACGCGGTGCTGTGGACCGAAGCCTTCCGCGGCAAGTACCACGGCGACCGCCCCTTCACGCGCGCCGACTGGGACCAGCTCCTGGGCCACGTCGAGGCCGTCACGGACTTCCCCGCCGCCGTCTTCGTGGAGGAGCTGGTGGCCGCCTACCCGGATGCGAAGGTGGTGCTGACCCTACGCGACGTCGACGCCTGGTTCGCCTCGATGCAGCAGACCATCATGGCGCAGACCTACAGCCCCCTCGCGACGCTGCTGGGGTGGATCGACCCCGAGAAGTTTGGGGCGGGCAACCGCATGTGCCGCCTGGGGTTTGACGCGATGTTCGCCGGCGACTTCGCCCGCAATGGCAAGCAGGCGTTTCGCGAGCATTACGATCGCGTCCGAAGCGTCGTGCCGCGCGATCGTCTTCTCGAGTGGAACCCCGCCGAGGGCTGGGAGCCCCTGTGTGGCTTTTTGGGAAAGGATGTCCCCGCCACGCCGTTCCCGCGCGCGAACGAGAAGGCGATCTTTCAGAAGAAGTCGGCGGCGGTGGTACGGAGTGCTTTTGCGAGGTTCTTGCAGAAGATGACGTGCTACGGGGTCGGGGTCGCGGTGGCATATTTGGTAGCCAGGCATGGGCGGGAGGTTTGGTTGCGGGTCTCGCAGTGGGTGTAGTTCTGTTGGGGGATGTCTACTGTTCGTTTTGTATATCCGAGGCTGGTGCCTCTTCTGTTGATGTATGTAAATAGCTAAGTTTGTGGTTTATAGATCATGGATATGTAATATTGGTTTCTTGGAGATGAACCGATCGATACCCGATCGATTTTTGCCGACCCGCTTTTGGCCTGCGAGGATCGGCGGCAATCTGAGAGAATCAGCATAAGAAAAAGAAAAAGAAGAAAAACGGAAACGGGAAAAAGAAAATATATCTCCGGCATGGAGAACGACCAAAAATTTAGAGTTTCCTCTTCTGGAGTTGATATCTATAACGAGGGAAATATGGCACGCTGCATCTATATGCCTGATGCTGTACTGGTCCTTGTCTACTGTTTCCCGCCGTATGCTGCCTTTCTGCGGTCGAACTTAATATTGATATGCTACATCCTGAATCTGGCAGTATTTCCATGTCAAGTAAACTTTTCAAGTCATCAAGCTTGCACAGCTCTTTCGCGGGTCCTCCGCTGGAACCCTGTTTCAATCAGGATTCAGGAAACATGGTTGCGTTGACCCTGATCAAATCGGTCCCACCTACTGTATCTGGGGAAGATCACCTCGAGGCCGAGATCCATCGATCGTCGAACCGGTGGATAGGCTGTATGGCCAGTGTGGAGACGACTGACTCGCGGCTGGATGATAGCATCTCTTGCGGCTGGACTGCGGATGGGAGATTGAATGTTGATGGAACGCGACCGCAAAGGACTATTCAGCCTGCTATCTAATTTTCGCAGTTACGGATGGTATAGAGTCTCGCAGTCCATCACTCGACACAATAAGTAACTGGTTCGTGGATAGGAGATCTCGCGATGAAACAACCTTGTGGTGGAGCCCCGCCGCTGATGTCAGGGCTCTGCCCGCGTCTTGCCCTAAGTGGTAAACAGCAAAGACTGCCAATGTCAAGGACCCTGACTGGCCATGGAACGAGGGTGGAACTCGGGGGGAATGCCTGAGTATCATTATCTTCCGTGTTCCCGCATCTCGATCCTGATTTATGCCGCTGGGTCCTGTCGATCGATCCGCTGATCGTCGGTACTGGAAGACTAAAAGGTGGGGCCCGGGAAAGAGCACCGGCAAACCGGTTCGTTTGACTTGCACTCTAGAGTATCCAGGAGAGGAATTGACCAAAGCTGCCCCCAGTAAGTCTTTCTTGGCTTTACATTCCCTTGTCTGGCGGTTCGCCTACCGTCACCGTCACCACCTGCTTCTTCCTTCCTTTGACCTTTCTTTCTCTCGATCTCTCTCTTCCACTCTCTCTTTCTCTTTGCCTCATCACCTGCCCCTCTTTTCCACACCCTGTTATTCTAATTTGTTGACTCGAACACTTCAACTGACTCTTGAGCTCCATTCCCACTGATACCCTCTTTTCTTCCGGTTTCACTTATCCATCATCCTTGCTTCATTACCCATCATTATGCGCTTCGCACTGTGGTCCGCTGCCCTCCTCGTCGGCTGCATGGCTGCCCCCATGCTTCCGACGCACCCGCTCATTGTCCGAAGAGAATTGACAGAGGTAAGGATCGCTGGCTGCGTCAACCTGGAACCGGGATGGGTCTGCTCAAACTAACTCTTTGCTCATCATTACTGCATAGAATGGTGAAGTGGTAAGTCAACCCTGGTGCATGGTTCGGTGTGTCTCGGGGGGTTGGAGGGACTAACAAGACGCCCAGGATGTATGTATCTGGCTCCACTGATGTGGTAACATTATCCTATTGCGCGTGCTGACGCTGGTATGATTTGCCCGTCTCAAGCCTGTAAGTTCACCTCCCGGTTTGGGAAATGTTGATGCTAAATGGTTGCTTAGGTTGTATGTTGTTCTTGATCTTGTATAGCTTTGTTGACTGTGCAGTGTGAAACTGATTGCTGGGATAGAACGTGAGTCTCCCTTGTTGCTACTGTACTGATTCTTCGAAACTAACTCGGGATCAGAATGTATGCTCTTTGGTGCCTCTCGATACTGTTTGAGCTTGCTAACCTGCACAGGGCGTGAGTACTCTTGTCTCGACTTGACCTAAGATCCTGCTGCTGAGAGCTTGGTACTTGCTGGCTTGTAGACTGTAGGTTCAATCCGTTCTTGCTCTTTGACATGACTGACACGAGCAGGTGGTATGTATCCTCTTTCCCGATGATGGTTGACCTCCACTGACGTGGATCTTTCCCTGTCATCAGAACGTGAGTTTGCCCCTCCATTCTAGAACCATGCCAAGCTAACGTACCCAGAACGTGAGTCTTCTCAATCTCTTCATTCGAGTGGCTGATAAAGTATCGATACTGATACGGAAAACAGAATGTAAGTTGACTTTCCGCCGTGCCATCTCACCACCCACTAACTATGTTTAGGTTGTGAGTTTTCTTGTCCTACCAAACAGCTGACTATCCCAATCTTACTTTTTCATCACAATGCAGAGCGTAAGATTCTCCCCACAATGTATTGGTATATACTAACATTAAGCAGCTTGTGAGTGCCCTAATCGCATACCTTATGGCATTGGCAAATGCTAACTCTAAGCCTCTCCTGATCATCAGCTGGTAAGTTCAAACCAATGTTGAGAGCTTGAATCAGATCCGCGCTCACAAACAGCAGAGCGTAAGTCCCAAGTCATACTGACAAGGAATGGCTAATGCTGAGTGCATATCCCCTCAACATAGTTTGTACGTATCCCCCACCACAGGAAGATCCCACTAACCCGGCCAGTGTGTAAGGAAACCCCACCTATGGCCCATCGAACAGCATTAACGCATACTCCGGCGACCAGAAAGAAAAGGTGAGGCCACTTTTCTCACGTCTATGGTGCTGCCTATGTGCGTCCACGACTCACAGCTAACCGATCAGCGCGACAACGACGAACCGTTGACCTCCGATGGCGACGTGGACCCTGTCAATGACGGCGAGGTCAACAACAACATCTCGCTGATCCGGCTCTGCTAGACGATCGTCAGTCTCCGGCCGAGAGCCACCACGAATTCCCGAGGGTTCAGCGAAGGGTGGACCCTAAGCCGGTCGGGACCGAGTCCTTCTGTCCTCCCTCCCACTTGCTATCGTGTGGCTGGAGATCGCTCGGAGGGGCAAGCAGGGCACCGGGGGACGAATTGGGGCTTGCCGACGAGGACTTGCCGAGCCATGAGTTGCTGCGGTGGGTTTGGATGGTAGTTAATAGGTTGTCCCCTGTTGGATAGGGCATGTCATACGATTGCATTCTTCCCGTCTCTATCCACTGTGACTGTAGATCTGGCTTGGATATATCCACGTAGACATTAGGATCCATGTACTGTACGTAGAGGTTGGGCTATGACGCATGCGATGCTTGAGATCTTGTTTCGTGGCTGTGTGAGGTGGTAATTTGATGATATAAGAGAGACGAAGTTCTGGTGCTGGGTTGTTGTCTGGGTGTGATACTGAAGCTCATTCGGAGAGAGCATGACCGGCCGACATAAGCAGCTGCAGATTATTGTGTGCGTACTAGCTTCAGTTCGTCGGATTTCCTGAGCTTCAATATGAAGCCTTTCACAATACAAAGATATTCAAGGCAACGGGTTTGGCCAGAAGCAACTCGAGGCCGCATGGTTTAAGACAGACATGATGTTAACACCGATAGAAAGTTCATGTGGCGACTGCTTCCTTGACATGGATATATACCCGGCTCATCCATTTCCCTGCAGCATGGACACATCAATACTACCACGAGGTCAACTTGCGGGCAAATAATTTCATTCGGACTATCTTGATTACATATTACTACTGAAGAACAAAAGACACCATACGCCAAACATACCAAGCCAAGACACTCGTTCACTGCTTCCCAGCCGCCACGCGAGCCCGACGCTCGCGCACAGCATCAGCCAACGAGCGCAGTGAGGCCTCGGTGGTCTCCCAGTCGATGCAAGCATCGGTGATGCTGACACCCTTCTCACAACCTTCCAGACGCGCAGCCGGCTTCTGGTTGCCCTCCTTGATGTTGGACTCAACCATCACGCCGATGATGCCGCGCTCGCCCTGCCGGAGTTGCTCCTCTATGGTACGCAAGACCTTGGGCTGGTTGCGGTGGTCTTTTTGGGAGTTGCCTATGAGAGTGTATTAGCCGGGTCATGGCTTTATGACAAGATTTGACAGGACGTGAGTTAACAAGTCAATCAGACATACCATGGGAACAATCCACCATGACGACCTCCCGCTCACCCTTCTTCTGCAGCATCGCCTTGGTCGCCTTGACGCTCTCGGCATCATAGTTGGTCCCGCGACTCCCACCACGCAGGATGACAAACCCATCGGGATTCCCACTGGTGCTGGTGATGGCGATGATGCCCTGCTTGGTGGTGCCCATGAAGTGATGCTTCCCGCGCATCGACTTCAGCGAGTCAGCCGCGGTGCCGACGGACCCATCGGTGGCGTTCTTGAAGCCGACGGGGAACGACAGGCCGGAGGCCAGCTCGCGGTGCAGCTGCGACTCGGTGGTGCGGGCCCCGATGGCGCCGACACTGATGAGGTCGGCCGTGTACTGCGGGGAGATGGTGTCGAGCATCTCGCAGGCGACGGGCACCCCCTGGTCGGTGATGTCGGCCAGCAGCTTCCGCGCGACCTTGACCCCCTTGTTGATGTTGTACGAGTCGTCGACGTCCGGGTCGTTGATCAGCCCCTTCCACCCCACCGTCGTGCGCGGCTTCTCCAGGTACGCCCGCATCACCACGCACAGGTCCTCCTGCAGCTCCGCGGCCAGCTCCCGGAGGCGCGCCGCGTACTCCAGCGCGTTCTCCGGGTCGTGGATGCTGCACGGCCCCACGAGCACGAGCAGCCGGTCGGACTCCTGCCGGATGATGTTGCGCGCTTCGATGCGGCTGTTCAGCACCGTCAGCAGGGACTGCGCGCTCAGGCCGATGTCGTATTGCACGAGTTCGGGCGGGGCTAGGGGGGTGTATTTCTCCACTGGAATGAAGGGTCAGAGATGGGTACAGTTTTGCAGGGAGGAATGATTGAGAAGGATGGAGGCTACTAACCTCGGACATCTTCAGCGAGCTTCTTACGCAGAAGGTCGATGTTGGTGGCATCTAGAATTGGGGTGGACGTGAGGCTAGGCATTTTGATATGGAAAGCAAAGACGAAAGGAATACTAAGATTCGAGCGCTAGGCAGAGGTAAACAACACAACACCGGGACAATGGGACAATAAAAGAACAAAGGTCACTGGGCCTTCTTCACAACTGTCTGGAACAACGCCATGTGCTATATACCCTGCTCAGCACTCCGACTCGACTTCCCTGCTATCCCGCCTCTCCCCCTCTCCTCGACCTTACAGTCTCACCGAACCTGGGCAGCCGTGTCAGCACGGCTCGTAAATGTCAGACCTCCTGAGAGTGTATTCTCTGCCGCGACTCAGAAGAGAGAGAGAAAAAAGTTTGATCGGAATACTCTATCGTGATTGTCTTGGTCCACATCCGCTACGTCGTCGAATCGTCACTGCACGAACAGCTCCGAGCGATGGATACTCGGACTCCATTACGTATTGCGGTAGTGTCTCCTTCAGCCCGCCTCGCACGGAGAATAGCTAAAATGGTCCACAGCTCTGGGAGTCTGGGATGGTCGATCAAAGTCAGATTCAAAATGCAGGGAGCGAAAAGTTTGAGTCTTGGTTGTTTTTCTCGCAGGGTGGGAGGAATCAGGAAGCGTCGGGACGTGCTCCGATGATCGTCGGGGATGCACTCCCGGAGTGGGTAGGTCTTGAGCTCTTCATTTTCCGTGTTGGAAATAGGCGTGATGGTGGTGGGTTGCAGTGGATTCGGCAGAGTGGAGGGAAGAAGATCTCGAGGGATGGTTGATATTGCCTTGGATGGTTGGTAACGCAGTATCAGACATTACATACCGAGATCTTGTTTCATACGCGAAGCAATACGCATAATACAGCGTGAAATTACCGCTGAACCCGCCCGACCCGCCGGCGCTAAGCCCGAAGAATGCAAGATCGCCCGTGCAGCCGCGCTCCGATAAGCGAGATTCCGGAAATGCTGAATCTTCACCTTCACAAATCCCCTCCTGGTCATATCCATGGATAACTCCACGCGGCTTCCGGCAGCATGCAATCAGAACCCATGGAATCACCATGCCATCGTTTCACTTGCGATCTATGAGCTGAAACACCTCGATTTGTTTGTTGTGGTTCGTGCTGCTCCACGCGAGGAACACAAATACAAATACACACACGGAAAACACACGGGTTGAGCCGACTGACTGGGTCTCTATTCCCATTGCTGATCAACACAAATTGCCTCTGGATGGGTCAGGAACATCTGAATCTGATCAGGACGGAATGGCAGAGCACGCAGACCCCACCGTCCACGGTCCACAGCCCACGTCAGGATGATCGAACATCCACCGCATCGATACAACCCAACCCAACTGGGCTCTTGCACTCGGAGACCCCCCGTCGACCTTTTTCGCGGCATCACCATGTTGTCAAACATCCTGCACTAGATTGCTATACCCACACTTTCCGATCGAGGGTTCATCGCCCTTCATTCTACATGTAGACTAGTCCTAATGCTCGAGGCTGCCGGTTGGATCGAGGATGATGAACTGGAGTTCACCTCGGGGTCCTGCTTTTCCAGCTTACTGGGTCAGGTCCAGCGCAGCTGCTTCGCTTCGGGCTCCTCCCATGGGATTTCCTCAAAGGGAATATGATAGAGTCTGTAACAGGTCGTGGACGAGAGTTGTCGTAGATGCAGGTGACGGAGCCCCAAACCCTGCTACACATAATAGCACTGTTGGCCGCGTCGCTCTCTTTTCTCCCTGTTCCTGATCATCTTCTCAGTTCCCCACGTTATCCTCCGATTTTCATTCTCGATTTCTTGCGCGTCGCGTTTGCTGCTTGCGTTTTGTTTCTTTCTCCCTCACCCTCTAGCCAGCCAAACTTATCCCCTTCCTCCTGGCTCTTGCTCTTGACACTCTTTTCTTTTTTGTCTAATCTCTCCTCTTTGAACACAAAATGCCGTCCATCATCCTGGATGATGCTGACCGGCTCCGTCAGCGTTGGAGCGAGCTGGTCACGGACGTGACCCCTTCACACCTCCCCACGGGTCTTTTTTCGAAACGTCAGACCAAGACTCCCGTAGGGAAACTAGACGTCGACCTCAATGTATCCCTGATGCAAGCATGCTCTCAGGAGCACGATGTGTCTCCCTTGGATCTCGTCCAAGCAGCATGGGCTGCCATGCTGCGCTCGTATTCTGGCTCCGATGACATTACATACGGGGGCATCGGCCTCCAGCCCTCCAACTCGAAGCAACAAGTGACAGACGCGGCTCTGTGCCGGATACGGCTGGAGTCAGACGTATCAATCCTCTCAATTCCACAGCAGACCCTGAAAGAAGGACTGCACAGCGCAGACCTGCTGCTGTCTTTTCCAGAGACCTTGCAGGTTCACGCCAGTCTCGACCCAAAGCCGTGTAATACCGCAATCTGGCTGCGGGACTCTACCTCCAAGGCTGAAATCTCTGAGAATGAGATTGTTGGCGGCAGAACTGTGTGTTCTCTTCCTTGGGATATAGTTCTGTTCGGTTGCTAACTATCTCTCGCTAGTTTGACTACGTCCTACGAATCGATCCCTCTTTATCCACCCTAGACTTAATATACCACAAACCTATGGTCTCGCAAGCCCAGGCCGAATATATCGCTAATACCCTCGCCGATATCCTACATAATGTTTGCTCTGATCCCTTCAAGCCGGTGTCCACTCTCTGCCACCCCAGTGAGTTGGACACGCTTCAGATTGGAGCGTGGAACCGCATCCTTCCGAAGGGGAGTGCCGCGTGCGTTGACCGGTTGATTGAAGAGGCCGCACAGCGCAACCCCAATAGCCCAGCCATCTTCTCATGGGATGGCCAGATGACGTACGCCCAGTTCAACCAGACCGCATGCCGTGTAGCAAGCTATTTGGAGTCAGTCGGTGTGCGTCGGGGCCAGTTGGTTCCAGTCTGTTTTGAAAAGTCCCGCTGGACCATCATCACTATGATCGCCTTGTGGAAGGTCGGTGCTGCCTGGGTGCCTCTAGACCCCCGCCATCCACGTCAGCGTATTGAGACGATCGTCGAAAGCGTAAAGGCCACGACGGTCATAACCTCCGAGGCCAACCAGGCGCTCTTGGCCGGTATCGCCCCGCAGGTCATCACAGTAGACGCCGCTCTGATCGAGAGCATTGAGACGAGCTCGGATGTCGAGTTCGAGTCACGATCGCGGCCTCACGACATTTCCTTTGTCATGTTCACGTCTGGAAGTACCGGCAAACCCAAAGGTGTTGTCCATGAGCATGCGTCTGTGGCCTCGAGCGCCCTCCACCATGGTCCTGCCATGAACATCAACGAGGACACACGTGCCTTGCAGTTTGGTGCCTATACCTTCATCATCAGCACTTTCGAGATCTTCACCACCCTCATCTTCGGTGGATGTCTGTGCATCCCATCTGACCACGACCGTCATACCGATATCCGTCCCGCCCTCCGCTCCATGGATGCAAATTGGGCAATCTTCACCCCTAGTTTCGCCCGGTCTCTCAAGACAGAGGATGCTCCTACCTTGAAGACCCTCATCCTGGCTGGTGAAGCAGTCGCCCAGGACATTATTGACCGTTGGGCTGCCGTCGCTCGCTTGATCAATATCTACGGTGCCAGCGAGTGCTCGGTGTGTATGATCGGACCCATGGTCACGGATACACCGCGCAGCTGCATCGGCCGAGCTGTCGGCGCCCTCTCGTGGATCGTCGATGCGAACGACCATGACCGACTGGTCCCAATCGGAGCAGCTGGAGAGTTGATTATGGAGGGCCCTACCCTGGCGCGCGGCTACCTGGCCGACCCCGAGCGCACCCAAGCAGTCTACATCAAGGATCCCAAGTGGGCACAGCAACCGGGCATCACCCGTCAGTTCTACAAGACAGGCGATCTCGCTCGCTATGGTGACGACGGCAGGATTCATCTGATCGGCCGGAAGGACTTGCAGGTCAAGATCCGTGGCCAGAGAGTCGAGCTGACCGAGATCGAGGCGCACATGCGCGCCATCAACAACCAGGTCAAGACGGCGGTGTCGATGGTGCACCCACAGGGCAAGGCCATGCTGGTCGCCTTCATCTCCAGCCAGAGTGGCTTCGGGCCGGAGTTCCAGCACCCATTTCATGCTACGCCTACGGACCATGCCGATATTTCGTGCATCGCCTCGCAGATGAATAGCGAGCTTGTACAGAGGCTTCCGCCGTACATGATCCCCTCTGCGTTCATCCCGCTCGCGTACATGCCCCTGACAGCCTCGGGTAAGACGGACCGACGCATGATCACGACCTTCGGCACCGGTCTGTCCTTGTCGGAGCTGGCAGCCCTCGCTGGAGGCGCGGCAAAGTCCACACGCACCATGCCTTCCACTGCGGATGAGAAGCAGCTCCAGCAACTGTGGTCCGAGATCTTGCATTGCTCGCCCGAGGAGATCGGTGTGGAGGACAACTTCTTCCATCTGGGTGGCGACTCCATCGAGGCGATGAACCTGGTGCGGCGATGCCGCGCCGAGGGCTACCAGCTCCAGGTAAGCGACATCATGGACAATCTCGTGCTGCGCGACATGGCCAAGGTGATGGTTCCGGGTCGCCCCTCGACTGAGCTTCCCCCTGCACGGCCCTTCGAGCTTCTCGGCGACGACGAGGAGAGCATCCGCTCGGAGATTCAGGTTGCCAGTGGGTTCAAGGATGCAGAGCTCATCCAAGATGCGTATCCTTGCACACCGCTGCAGACTGGTTTGATGGCTCTCTCGGCCAAGATCTCCGGATCCTACATCGCCCGCCACACGCTTGAGTTGCCGGCGAACCTGAGCGTCGACCGCTTCAAGGAGCTGTGGGAGATTGTCGTCGCGAACAATGACGTGCTGCGTACGAGGATGGTGGAGACGGACCGCTACGGCACTGTCCAGATGGTCTGTCGTGACCGCATCCAATGGGGTCACGGTAGCGACTTGGAGGAATACCTCCAGGCTGACGAGGCGATCCCCATGCATATGGGCGATGCTCTCACAAGACACGCTATCGTCGAGTCTGCCACAGATAAGACTTATTTCGTCCTGACCATCCACCACGCCATCTACGATGGGCTCTCCCTGGAGATGCTGTTCAATGACCTCCTGGACGCTCTGCAGGGCAGTGTGCCCCCCGCGCGTCCGCAGTTCCGGGATTTCGTCCAGCACGTGGTAGAGAAGAACAAGGACGAGGCGACGGAGACATACTGGCGTAACGATCTGGCTGAAGGCGATCTGATCGCGTTTCCCACCCTCCCCTCGGCTACGTATCAGCCTCTCGCCAACGAGTCGCTCATTCACAACCTCAAGGTCCACCGCAATGCTCCCTCTGACTTCACCACCGCAACTTTGATTCGTGCGGCTTGGACCCTCCTCCAGGCCCGCTACTGTGATTCCCCCGACACGGTCTTTGGCTGCACCGTCAGCGGACGCAATGCATCTGTGCGTGGTGTTGAAGACGTAGTCGGACCGGTCATCGCCACGGTGCCCATCAAGGCGCACCTGGAGCCCCAGCAATCCGTCAATGACTACCTGAAGGCCGCCCATGCTCACTCGGTGGAAATGACCCCTTACCAGAACTACGGCCTGCAGAACATTGCCCGGGCCTGCGATAACGCTCCCTCAGCTTGTAGCTTCCAGACTCTGCTTGTCATCCAGCCGGCCAGCTCGGTGCCCGAGGCCAGCCTGATCCAGCCCTTCTCCGCTCCGCGCGCGAGCTTCAGCACCGTAGCCCTCACGCTGGAGTGCAGCCTCTCCGCCGACGAGGGGGTCCTGGTGCACGTCCACTTCGACAACGCGGTCCTGCCCCGCGGCCAGGTGGAGCGCATCGTGCAGCAACTCGAGCATGTCCTGCAGCAGCTGGCGCAGGAGCCCGCCGGCCGCACCCTTGCCGACCTGGAGCCGATCAGCCCGCGCGACATGAGCGATCTCCTGCAGTGGAACCGCACAATCCCCGAAGCCACCGAGGATTGCGTCCACAACCTCATCGCCCAGAACACCATGGTGAATCCGACCGCCCCGGCCGTGTGCGCGTGGGATGGCAACCTCACCTACGCCGAGCTCGACAACATCTCCTCGAAGCTCGCCGCCCACCTCATGAACGCCGGGGTCGGGCCCGAGGTGTTCGTGCCGCTGTGCTTCGAGAAGTCCATGTGGACGATCGTCGCCATGCTGGCGACCATGAAAGCGGGCGGCGCGTTCGTGCCTATGGACGCGTCGCAGCCGTCCAGCCGCATGCAGCTGGTCGTCCGGGAGGTCAACGCGCATGTGATGCTGTGCTCGGAGGAGCAGCTGGGCCGGTGCCCGGGGCTCGTCGAGAAGGCGATCGCCGTCGGGCCGGGGATGGCCCAGGCGTCGATGCCCCAGATGTCGCAGACGCCCGTGGCGCCGTCCAACGCCGCGTACGTGATCTTCACCTCGGGCAGCACGGGCACGCCCAAGGGGTCGGTGGTGGAGCACCGCGCCTTCTGCACGGGGGCGCTCGCCCACAAGGAAGGGCTGCAGATGGGGCGCCGCGTGCTGCAATTTGCGTCGTACACGTTCGATGCGAGCGTGCTGGAGATCCTGTCGACGCTGGTGCAGGGCGGCTGCGTGTGCGTGCCCTCGGAGGCCGAGCGCCGCGGCAACATCGCCGAGGCCATGACGCGCATGAACGTTGACTGGGCGGTGCTGACCCCCTCCTTCGTCAGCACGATCGACCCGGCCACCGTACCCACCCTGGAGACCCTGTGTCTGGCCGGCGAGGCCATGACCGCCACCCACGTGGCCACCTGGACCCCCTATGTCCGCCTCGTCAACGGCTACGGCCCCAGCGAGTGCTGCGTCTGCAGCTCGTCCAACCGCCGCGTCGTGCCCGGCACCGCGCCCAACGACATCGGCACCGCCGTCGGCGGCGCCTGCTGGGTGACCGACCGCGACGACCACAACAAGCTGGTCCCCGTGGGCTGCATCGGCGAGCTGCTGGTCGAGGGCCACACGCTGGCGCGCCACTACCTCAGGAACGCGGAGAAGACCGCCGCAGCGTTCATTCCGCGGCCCGCCTGGCTGCCCTGGTCGCGCTGCGATCGGCTGTACAAGACGGGCGATCTCGTCAAGTACAGCGCGGACGGGTCGCTGCAGTTCATCGGCCGCAAGGACACGCAGGTCAAGATCCGCGGGCAGCGCGTCGAGCTCGGTGAGATCGAGTACCACCTCTGCCTGCCGGCCGCGGTCTCGCAGGCGATCGTCTCGTACCCCAAGAAGGGGATCTACGCCAACAAGCTCATCGCCACGCTCGAGCTGACCGCCACCAGCGGTGACAAGCTAGCCCCGGTCGCCCCGGTCACCCTCCAGGAGGCCGGCTTCGATCTGCCTGCGCTCTCCCAGTCCATGAGCGAGACGCTGCCCGCGCACATGGTGCCCGTGATCTGGATCGTGGTTGAGAAGATCCCCAGCTCGTCATCGACGAAGATCGACCGCAAGGCGGTGGACACGTGGCTTGCGCAGCTGCCGGCGGACTTCGCGCCGACGATGGGGCTGAAACGCAACGAGCCCACCGTGTCCACGCTGCGGCCGGACGAGGGCAAGGCGCTGGCGATCAGCAGCAAGATCGCTAGCCTAGTCAGCCGCGACGACAGCAGCAGCAGCAGCAGCATGCCGCTCCAGGGCCACGACTTCAACATCGCCTCGATGGGCATCGACTCGGTGCAGGTCATCAGCCTGGCCAGCTTCATCAAGCAGACCTACGGCGTCAAGGTCGACGTCTCGCGCATCCTGGACGGGCAGATGACCGTGCGCTCGCTGGCCGCCCTCCTCGACGCCGAGCTCGCCGGCACCGCCCCGGCCACCGTATCCCCGGCCTCCACTTTTGATGCCATGAAGGAAGCCACCGCGCTCATGAAGTCGATCATCACGCGCAGCCCCGTCAAGAAGACCGTCTTCGTGACCGGCGTCACGGGCTTCCTGGGCACGCAGATCCTGCGCCAGCTGTGCGATCGCCCGGACGTCGGACGCGTCATCGCGCACGTGCGCGCCGCGACGCCCTCCGAGGCGTTCATCCGCGTCAAGGACGCGGCGGTGCGCGCGCAGTGGTGGTCGGACTACTACCTGACCAAGCTGGACGTGTGGGCGGGCAACCTGGCGCAGCCACGACTAGGCCTGAAGGCCAAGCAATGGGCCTCGCTCACCGGCGAGAGCCCCAACGAGGGCGGACTGGTGCACGCGATCATCCACGCGGGGGCGGCGGTGAACTGGAACGCGGGGACGGAGGTGCTGCGCGCGGCCAACGTGGACTCGACGGCGGAGCTGATCAAGGCGGCGGTCAGCTCGCCGGCGCGGCCGCGGCTGGTCTACGTCTCCGGGGGTCACCGGTGGCACCCGGACGAGGACGACCGGGAGATCGCGGCGGAGGTGGCGCACGCGAACGGGTACGCGCAGACCAAGTACCTGTCGGAGCTGCTGGTGAAGCAGTTCGCGGCGCGGTACGCGAGCCAGTTCGCGATCGTCAAGCCGGGACTGATCCTGGGCACGCCGGAGGAGGGCGTGGCCAACACGGACGACTTCGTGTGGCGGCTGGCGTCGGCGGTGGTGGACGCGCGCTGCTACAGCCGCGACGTCGGCGAGTCCTCCTGGATGTTCGTCACGAGCAGCACCCGCGTCGCCGAGGAGACCATCCACCAGGCCTTCTGCCCCGCCGACGCCATGCGCACCGTCACCTTCATGACCGACGGCATCACCGAGCGCGAGTTCTGGGACATCTTCCACCACGAGCTCCAGTACCCGCTCCGCGCCGTCGACCATGCCACCTACCTCGACACCCTGCAGCAGGCGATCCAGCGCGACGCCACGGGCCATCCGCTGTGGCCGGTGATGCAGGTCTTCGAGGCGATTGACGGCCGGCTCGGCGGCGGGGATGTGCTGCCCGATGCGAGTGTGGTGACTCCCTCGCAGCGCCAGCATGTCAAGGCTACCGTTCGCCGGAATGTGCAGTTCTTGGTGGACGCGGGCTTTATTGCTAGTCCCACGGGCAAGAAAATGCGGTACATGGCGGAGAAGGTGTTCCAGCGGTCGGGCAATGTGTGGGAGAATGTCAAGGGGATGGTTAATGGACTAGCTTAAAATGACAGTCCTATAGGATGGACTAGCTGAGGCTGTAGTACTTAGTGTTTTGTATAATAGCGTAATGTCTGGAGTATTGGGTGATTGGTATCTGACTAGGCTAGCATCCAATTTGATTTGCTTGTTCATCTATCGTCCTTCGTCAATAGTCCCACTACATAATCAGACTAGACTTGAGCAGCAGGTGGAGCATGAACCTCGATCAAGGTGCCAGTTCAACTACTCTCGCATAAACCAGCCGAGCCATCGATGGGTAGCGTTGAATCTCGCCGATCAGGGCTAAGCAGGAGAAGGGAGGGTATAAGAAGGCGCATGTCCCCAGCCTGTCTCTTGTTCTTTTTCCTCTCTCACCCAACCGCCCAACCCTAACTCCCCCTTCCTTCTCACCACCACCACCCCCACAACCATCCATCTATATCCCAATCAATCCTCCCACACAACACACCACCACCCTTTCATCACAAACAAACACCGACACCAACAAAATGGACATGTTCGCCCCCGCGCCCCCTCCCCCCACCGCCCTAGGCCGGTACCGCACGCTCTCCTCGACCGCCGGCATCCGGGTCTCGCCCTTCCAACTCGGCGCGATGTCCATCGGCACCGCCTGGTCCGGCGGACTGGGCTCAATGACCAAAGAAGCCAGCTTCGCGCTGCTAGACGCCTACCTCGCGGCCGGGGGCAACTTCATCGACACGGCGAACAACTACCAGAACGAGGAGTCGGAGCGGTGGATCGGGGAGTGGATGGCCCTGCGCGGGGTGCGCGACCACCTGGTGGTAGCGACCAAGTACACGGGGCTGTACAAGCCGCCCAACCCTGCGCCTACCCCCGCCTCCTCCTCCTCCTCCTCCTCCTCCTCCTCCGGCCCACAAAACACCACGGAGAGCAGCTACCACCCCTCCTACCCGAAGATCAACTTCGCCGGCAACCACCGGCGCAGCCTGCACCTGAGCGTGCACGACTCGCTGGCCAAGCTGCAGACCAGCTACCTGGACATCCTGTACGTGCACTGGTGGGACAGCACCACCTCCATCGAGGAGGTGATGGACAGCCTGCACATGCTGGTGCAGCAGGGCAAGGTGCTGTACCTGGGGATCTGCAACGCGCCGGCCTGGGTGGTCAGCGCGGCCAACACGTACGCGCGCCTGCAGGGCAAGACGCAGTTCAGCATCTACCAGGGGCGGTGGAACGTGCTGCACCGCGACTTGGAGCGCGAGGTGATCCCCATGGCGCGCCGGTTCGGGATGGCCGTCGCGCCGTGGGATGTGCTCGGCGGGGGCAAGTTCCAGTCGCCCCAGGCCATGGCCGCGCGGAGGGAGAATGGGGAGGGGCTGCGCAGCATGATGGGGAGCGGCGAGCAGAGCGAGGATGAGGTGCGGATGAGCGAGGCGCTGGGCAAGGTGGCGGCCGAGGTGGGGATCGAGTCGGTGACCGCCGTCGCGTTGGCGTATGTGCTGGCCAAACATCCGAATGTGTTTCCCGTGGTCGGCGGGCGGAAGGTCGAGCATCTCAGGGATAATATTCAGGCGTTGGAGGTGAGGTTGTCCGAGGAGCAGATCCGGTTTTTAGAGGGGGTCAAGCCGTTGGAGTTGGGGTTTCCGCAGAATATGCTGGGCGAGGAACCCGGGGTTACGGGGAGGGAGGGCATGTCCCTCGCTAATGCGGGGGTGGTTGATTTTGTCAAGTTTGAGAGGCCGGTGGGGTATGCTTGAGCTTGGGGGACGGTATATTGTTTGTTGGGGGTGTCTTGATTGCTGGAAAGGCACAGTGTGTATCATAAAGGTGATCATGCTAGTATACATAAATGAATTCGTCATTCTCGCGGTCCGTCAAGTCCATCAGCCCCTGCTGCCCGGTCTCCTCCGTCGTCGCTGGCGCGCCATCGCCCTCGCTCTGTGCGCCGCTCCGCATCGACAGATCCTGCAGCTTGGCCGGCTTGCCATTCTTCACGCGCCGTTTCTCCTGCATGCGGTTCAGCACCACCAGATTCGCCCACTGCATCAGCGTGACCCCCACCAACGCCACAAAGATGCCCAAGCACGCCTTCAACCCCGGCCGGTAGGTCGGAGCATCCTTGGCATCAAACAGCAAGGGCCCGATGATGTTGCCCGACGAGGTCGCGGCATTGAACAAACTCATGCAGACACTCTGCTTCGTCGTGCCACCGGTGTTGGAGACAATCCACGCCACGATCAAGGGATTGCCCCCGAACAAGAACGCCAGCAGGTAGAAGCCCGCCATGAGCGCCCCGTTGGCACTGCTATCCCGGGGCAGCGCATACAGCATCGCCAGCCCGGCGACCACGGGCAGCACCAACGCCGCCAGGATGACCCCCTTCATGCTCGCCTTCTGGGCCAGGTAGCTCGCCAGCAGGATGATGATCACCTGCACCGCGCCGAAGGGCATGTTCAGCAGCGTCACATGGTCTGTCCCAAACCCCAGGCCCTTCAGGATCAGCGGGCCGAAGACGTTGGTCACCGAGGCCCCGATGTTGAGGAGCAGCGCCAGCCCGATCCACAGGTAGGTCTTGGGCTCCAGCACCGCTTCCACCAGGTGGCTCATCTTGTACTCCCGGGTGCCCGTGCCAGTCTGATTGGCGCGCAGTCGCTCGACGGCTTGTTCCTTCTCGCTCTCGGTGAGGAAGCGGGCCGTCTCGATGTCGTTGTCGAGGCGCCAGTAGATGATCGGGCTGGTGACGATGGTGAGGAGGCCGACGAACAGGAAGATGCTGCCCGTCAAAGGTTATTAGCATTGCTACTTGGATGCACTGGATACAGGAGGAGAACTCACATCTGCCATCCCTTCAAGGCATCGGACTTGATCTGACTCAATCCGTAGGACAGCGCAGCTGCGATGATGGTTGCCCAGCCGTTGGTGGAGTAAAAGGCCGCCACGCGGATCGGCTGCTCAGCCCGACGATACCATCGAGCCACAAGAATGGAGAACAGCGGTAGACAGCCAGCCTCGAATAGTCCAAGAAAGAATCGCGCCGCGAGGAGTTGGCTGAAGTTGTGGCAGGCGGCCATGCAGGTCTGAGCGATGCCCCAGCCGAGACACAGACTGGGCATGAGGATCCGGGGTCGGACCTTGACGATGACTAGGGTGGTTAGCTATTACTCCCCCAGTCCTTGGTCGTTGTACTCACGCCAGGAAGAACATGGCTGCCAGGCCAGCTGGGCGATGGGAGCGATCGACCCGATCAGCGAGTACTGGTTGCCCGTGAGGTGCGTGTCCTCGGTCATACCGTAGGTGGCCCCAAATCCCAGGACGGTCTTATCCAGAATCTGCAGGAAATACACCCAGACCAGGATGGTCAGGATGGCCCAGTCGGTTTTGCGTTTGATTCTCTGGCCATCCTCTTCGGTCAGGGGGATGCGCGGACGAGGAACGGGGTCAAAGTCGGGAGATGCAGAGTCAGAGCCCTCGATGTGAAGAGCAGCAGGCTTAATGTCATTGTCCATGATGTCGGATGGAAGTATGGATGAGAGAGAAATCTGGGGAAGGGTGGGGAGGGGAGAGATCGCTACCCCATATAACACCGACAAATGCGGGGGAATTGCTAGTGCATTCAACAAGGTGCCACCCCCACGGACCTGATGAGCTGGTGGTACGACAGGAGCCCTTGCCGGTTTGTTGCAGCAGAGATCGAGTCGGACACTAATGTGAAGCCAGGCAAAGACCGAGGCAAAATGGGCCGATTTCCCCGCTGTCGATCCCCCGTCATTCGATTTCAATCTTGCCTCTGGTTCTCGCCCCCACGTTGCACGGGGGGGCTCTGGGTTTAGCCTTCATATGCCAGATGGCCAGGATATTCAAGGTTTCTAGCTTGTTTGTCTGTTTGTCTGGCCAGGTCAGATGATGATGACGGTGCATCTCATGCAAGGATCTGCTTGTCCCTCACTGGATGCGCGCGCGGTTGCAACAAGCTTGTGGCTTGTGGCGAAACACCAACCCCCACGTCCACGACTGACGGAGGGTCCAAGCGGCCTTGCAGATACTGAGAGACACAGGCTTTGTCTCTCATTACGGTGGGCTAATGCACCAGTAGATATTATCATTAACCGATCATCACCGATATGGTCCTATGACAGGGCCTAGGAGCAGTGAGTCTCTTATGATGGCAACTCATGCGGGACCTCTTCGCGGCCATCCATCTCCGCAGGTACCGATGCACGCGAGTATTTGGGATCCTTCGAGAAAGCCGGCACCTCATACGATGGCACAGTCTCGCTTCTCATATCCATCGGAGCCATCGCCCCTCGTCTGGCTACCTTCCTACGTCGCCAGAGCCAGTACCAGGCCAGTCCGATCGTCAGCAACAGCGCACAGCCCAAACCCACCCCCACTCCGATTCCGATCTTTGCTCCTCTACCCGACCCCGAAGTCGTCGCTGCCGGGGTGGTGGTCTCCGCCGATGCCGATGTGGCGGTGACAGCAGCTGATGCAGTCAACGCCACAGAGGGGATGGATGTGGCAGACGTCGATACCGCCGTTGTTGTAGTTGAGGTTCCGATTGCTGCCGTGGTGGTCGTACCCGCAGAGATATTGAAGTAGTGGCTGGCGAACACCCCGTCCCAGTCTTCCAGATCGGTCGCATCGCGGATCTGGAAGAAGAACACTACGCCGTCGCTCAGGTTCCTTTGGGTGCTGACCACCCAGTCGTAGCTGGTGACACCGCTGAGGTTGGCTGCGGTTGTTAGTGGCTTGCATAATGAATATGAGACTCATGGCTGTCAGGATGCATACTTTGAAGCCACTCGTAGTCGGAATTGTCATTCTGCCAGAGCATCAGAGACAGGTATTCGAGGCTGGTCGCCCATCGGAGCTGGACAGTCTGTTCGAGGGTGTAGACGGGGTCCTCCGAGTAGTCGTGGATGGGGCCGCCGGTCGGAGGATTGTAGAAGATCCCTGCCTCTGCTCTCGCATGAACGATGATGGAGGTGTATATGCATAGATAGAAGACGCATTTGACCATTTTGCTATCGGGTGGTGGTACACTCGGAACGACGTTGCGGTTGTCTGGTGGCTGGCTTCTCCCGGCCCAGGTAACAGGGTGGGTGAGAGAGGGATCCAAAAGTAGTCAGACAGTGAGGGCGGGGGAACTCGCTTGACCCCAAGAATGGGCTTATCATTGCTAGAGAGATCCCAAGGGGATGGTTCACCAATGGCTACTATCGCTAGTAGGGTAAAAAGTGTCGCCATTCCAACACATCGTTTCTCTGTTGCTATTTTGAGCTCTTCCCCAGGGATAGTTGCATTGGAACGAATCACAGACATAGTGTGCTGGGCTAAGGGCTATTAGCACAGGCGGTACTCCGTAGAGAAGTCTGACTCGCACATCTCGGGGACCCCATCATGTTTTCTCTTTGGATACACCGCAGACAGGCCAAGCCGACACGATGTGACCCCTGGGATGCGTGATGACGGGATGGTTCGACCGGGGTAGACGAGGTTAGCGCTAAAGCTCCGTCTATCACTGGCTGCATCGAGCCCTAACCATGCAGATAAGCTGCGCCGCCATCTTGGCCCTGGACGACAATTTGACGGACGTAAGGCCGGTCAGTGTCGTTATCGCGCCTATAAGCTTCCTTCGCATGAGCTGTTGCCGCCCATAGCTCGACCAGTTGCCCTGATAAAGACTCAACCCTCGAATCTCTCTTTCCTAGGAGACATGATAAGCTAATTAAATATTCTCCATCTTCTCAATATGCTTCTGGCACCACGACAATGCCTCTTCCTTACCGCAGCAGGCTGCATTCTCTTGATCATAGTCACCTTGTATCGATATTCCCCGATCGCGCCCTCTAGAAAGCTAGAACACTCAGCTTCACCCTCGTCTGATGTTTCACCAGTCAGCGACGCAGCCAACTCGACATTGGGTGTAAGCCTTCCTTCTCCGATACACAAGACCAGTGGATGTTAACCTCAGACCAGTTCCAAGCGATCTTCGCCCTCTCCGCCGGCCCCTCCTGGCGAACACGAGGCCTCCTCGCCGCCGCCAACCTGACCGGACTAGAAATCGCCCTCCCACCCCAGCCCCCCATCCCCGCCGCCCTAGTCACCGCATTCCAAGCCCTAGGCGACAGCACGCAGCACCCAACCCAAGGCGCCAGCAAAGCCTGGCTCGCGCACCTCGACCTCATCAAACACATCCACCAATCCCGTCTGGACACCGCCCTAATCCTCGAAGACGACGTCGACTGGGACCGGGCCCTGCGCGCCCAGACTCCGCGGATCGCCGCCGCGGTCCGCAACCTCACCCACGTCTCACCCACCGAGGACAACGACAACGCGCCCTACGGCCGGGCCTGGGACCTCCTCTGGCTCGGCCACTGCGGCGAGTACTGGGAGGACAGCATCGAGACCGTGGTCTTCGACGACCCCACCGCCATTCCGCACGCGCAGTACTCCGGCTGGGCGAGGGAGTATATCGCGCGGTTGCCCGACCGACGACGGGCGGTGTATCGGTCGTATAACCCGGTGTGCTCGTTCGCGTACGCGCTGTCCCGCGACGGGGCGCGGAAGGTGCTCGAGCTTGTCGGGGGCGGTGGGGATGAGGCGTTCGATATCGCGGTTATGCATCAGTGTCGTGCGGGGAGGCTGGAGTGTCTGTCTGTCGTGCCGGAGGTGGTGCATCAGTATTTCCCGGCGGAGCGGTTCGGGGTTAAGAGCTTGGTGGATGTGGGGAATGGGGAGGTGGATGGGCCGGGGGACGGGGGAGAGGGGGGGGAGGACTTTGAGGCGGTAATGGGGTCGACGGAGAATATTCTAGAGAGTGCCAGGTGTTGGGCTTTGTGGCGGCAGACGTGTTTGAGGCAGTAGATTTGAGGACTGGATATGGAATGTAGATGAATGGACGGCTGTTTGGTGTGGGGAAAAGAGAGGTCGGACCCGCGGGGTTCACACTGCACCTGGCGCATCTCGGAGTTGACCTCCGATAATTTATGCGAGTAGCGCTGTGTCATGTATGATACGAAATTCGAATAGTGGTTGCATATTACCTGTTTTCAATTACTTACTCTTGGGGTAGAACGCGTGTGAGTGCTAGACAATTAGAGAGTAACGCCCCTACGGCAACACAGATATATAAATAGACCCCCCGGGGTTTGACCACTGTTGGCCAAAACAGACGAGAAGATTTTCCTACGGGAGTGGACACTTCCTGTGCACCGGCCCAATTCTTTAAGAAGCAGTGACTGAATTTAGAGACAGCGAAGAAGGGTAGAGGGTAATCATGTGCTGGTAAATTATGTTTCTGTCCTGGGGTTGATGACTGCTGTTGGGAGCTGACTACATTTATATATTTAGGGATATGTACCTCAAAGTTGATGGCGATATCACAACAACAGGTGCTGTGGTCTAGTGGTATGACGTCACGTTGTGGCCGTGCCAGCCCCGGTTCGATTCCGGGCAGCGCCACTTTCTTTTTTGGTTTGTTGTTATTTTGCTGTTCCAATTCGTCGAAGGCAGATGTAGATACGTAAACACCAGATTTATAACCAGACCAAATCACTCCCCAAACGGATTTCCAAGCCCCAACGCCTCGCCCACATTGCGATAGAGCTCCGCCGGCATCGGCCAGAAGCGCAACTCCATCCCCTGCACAATCGCCCGCTCCCTCTCATCCAACGCCGTAAAATACCACTCCTCCACGCAGTAAAGCAAGTCCCGCATCTCCTCGTCGAACAAAGCATTGATCGGTCGCCCGGCGCGCTGGACCTCCACCTGGAAGCAATACGCCGGTTCACCCCACGGCTGCTCCTGACCCGTCCCCATAAACAACCCAGCCCTCCCAGGACGCCACGGTTCATCATCAAAATCCTCCTCCTCCTTCTCCTCCCTCTCAGAGCCTAAATCCCTGACCAACCCCTCCATCTCAGGAACCACGCCCTCTCGCACAGCCCACAGCCAATGCATCGACCGCTCCACGGCCCAGTCCGCGAACGCCGCGTGATCAAGCGCCGCATTCTCGGGACGCAGCTCGTACTCCTCCGCGAACTCATCGACGACAAAGTACCGCCCGGCCTCCGCAAGGAGGCGCAAGCGGTCCGTCAACGCACTGATCGTGCGCGCGACATGATCGAGCCGGGCGCGCACCGCCGACGCCACCACCGGCCCATCGCACAGCGCAACCGGGCTCGTGAACTCGTACCCGCCGTCCGCGGGGGCCACCATCCCCACGAACCACGGACGGTACCGATCCTTGGCCGCCTCGCTGCGGATCAGCGCGGCTGTCTCCTCGGGCGTGCGCCGCCCCAGCGCGACCAGCAGCGCCGCCTCCCACTGTCGGCGCTGGGCGCGCCAGGCCCGTAGCCGCGCGTGGTAGGCGTCCGCCGCGGCGGTGAGTTTGGTCCGGTAGTCGCGCAGGGAGTTGCGGGCGACGAAGAGGCAGGTCCGGGGGTCGGTGAAGGGCAGGTAAAGGACGACGTCGTCTGTGGGCAGGGCCTCGCCGCCGGACTGGAGGAGGGTGTAGGTGCTAGACCGGGTGTTGGGCGCCAGGTAGACGGGCTCGTAGGCTTGGCTGGTCAGGTAGTGGACGTCGAGTCGGTGCGGGGGCAGGTCGCGACTTAGGCCGACGCGGATGCGTTGGGGGGAGATGTCGTCGAAGGCGGGGATTGCTGGTGGTAGGGGGGAGGTGCGCCAGGTGAGGAATTCGTTTAGGGTTATGTGGGCTTGGTGGGGGAGGAGGCAGATCGGACCGACGGGGAGAGAGCTGGTGGGGAGTTTGTCGTTGGGGTCGTTGGCGGGTTTGTCTGGGGTGGCTCGTTTCGGGGCTCTGGATGGGCTGGTTGTTGAGGGGGGCCGCTTGCCTGCCATTTTGATATGCGAGATTACCAAAGAATGTGATTGTTGAGGGAGGCGAATCGTCGACACGGAGGTGGTGGTGCGCTGAGAGGAACTTTAGGCTTGTGAGAGGAGATGGTGGATCACGATATCAATATTGCTGGAGGGAAGAGCAAGAGGAGAGAGCAGGTGTCTGGAACCAAGCTGTATGTAAGGTTCGAGTGAGAGGATTATGACGAGAATCAGAGCAACGGAAAGAAAGACGCAAGCCAGCAGATGAAGCCTGGGTGAAGAATGGCTGTTTCAACTCGAGAAGAAGCGAGATCTCGACGTGCTCTTCTCTTGAACCTAATAGTTCAGCCCGGAGAAATGCCTCTGATGCTGATCAGGCTCTGGGGGATACATTGTGGGAAGCGAAAGAGTATAAAGGCAGAGGTGTCAGATCAAGCCTGACGACCACGCTGATCTCGATCATGAGATGCCTTGGCTATGTGAGTGACGCATTGGGTAACGATGCGAGAAAAGACACTAATTCATCTAGTAAGCTACCACTACAAACAGACGAGAAGTATAGACGTGGCTGATGCATCCACCAGGCCGAACACATAACGAGCAGAAGCAGGAGCAATCTCAAACAAAGGTATAGTACAGCACCGCGACTAGCATCCACAACATAAGCATTCCACGATCTCGAAGCAGCACTCGCAGGCCTCCTCGCAGAGAAAACAACAGCACATGGTCAGAAGACTGAGAGCCGTTAGCCAAAGTCAGGTCCGCTCGGGTCCAGGTCAGCACATACCAGGTGGTGAGACACCCACGGTCCTTGGACTGCGACTGCTCTTGTGGGGGAGCATACTGCATTTGCTGGGGAGGTGGGTATTGACCACCGGGAGGTGGGTAACTAGAAAGATCTCATTAGTAACAAATTCGTCTAGTAGACTCGGCTACTCCTCTGCTAACGTACTATCCCTGTGGTGGAGGTGGCTGTTGTTGTTGACCGTAGTATGACATGGTGGGTTTTATGGGGGGGGGGGGGGGGATGTGAGCACCGACAACAGGAAAAAAGCTGGGACTGAGCCGGGGTATGGGCAAAGGGCAGTTAGCCCGCTTATTATTATAATTCAAACGAGTCCGGACAGCCTAGGCAGAAGGGATTGGCATTTGCCCAAGTCAGCCCTGCCGAGAGGAGAAATCAAACTGGTTTCTCTTGGCCCTGCAGTTGTCGCTGGGGGGTGGTTCCACCCTCCCGGTTGCCATTGGGCCCAGGGACAGGGTAATAGTCGACAGCAATCAATAGTCGGCAGTCGATGTGACGGAAAGAGGAGGTTCAGTCATCCTCAATGGCAGGGTTGGCGCGTGGGGAGGTTACACGTTGGAGGTCCCAGAATAGATAGGTAACACCACACGCCTAGTCTCGAACTGCTTTGGGGGCGCTTGCATTGTGATCGTGGCGGCTGGGAAAAAGTCGGTTTATGCGACACCGACTGAACAGATCAGCCATAGGGGTGCATGAAGTGGATTTGTGCCAATGCTCTATGGTCTGTGCCAAGCAGCCCACAGCAGTCCTGAGGGTCTCCAGGGTCATGGGAGCAAGAGGAATTGGCGGCCGCGGAGCGAGATTGGATTAAGACCGTCAGAAACGCCAAGACTGGCGCTTCGCCCCTTAAGGCTGGACTGGAGGAAGACATGTTCCGCCCCTCTTCAAGCGCCAATTGGCAATGCAGCCAAGAAGGACTTGCTGCCTCGAGTGTTGCATCTTGCACGCAGAAATAGTGCTGCCTAGTAGATGGTTTGGATTGTACGACAAGCATGACTATTTGCCACCATACATCAACTTGGGCTTGTAGCTCAGTGGTAGAGCGCTCGCTTCGCATGCGAGAGGTCAGGGGTTCGATTCCCCCCAAGTCCAATGTTTTTAGCACCACGTTTCCTTTTTGGCTTCCTTCTCGGCTGCTGTTTAGCGACTGGGCCAATAGTGTTGTGCTCTGGGGCCGTTTGCCGCCTTCCAGAAATGACTTGGTGAGCGTCTCTCTACAGCCAGCCCCATACTAATGTACATCTTTGTTGCCAAGTGACTTCTAGAGCTATGTACAATCAAGGGACTTTCACGACCCCGTATCCACGCTGACTGCATATCACAACCAAGGTCGCCACAAAAGGACGGATCCAGTGTGAAGACATCACCCGCGACAACAACGCGATATGCATCGATGAACCTCAGTATGACCATCCACAACGGGCACGTGGCTTGAGAGGCCGCACATACCATCAGCTTCGGACCGTCAATCCGTGTTACTCACCCTAGCCAATCCGCTGCTTTCGCCTCACCCAGACCTCCTGCTCGACAGGCTCTGCGGCCCCCTCATCCGACGCCGGGGGATCGCGCAATTGCACCTCCCAGACCTTCAGCTTGTAGTTGCCACGGTCCGCCTGCCCCGAGAACAGATCGAACGACCACCCGTGCTTGGGACAGTTGATGCCCGCGCTGAGAGTGATACCGAAGTCCTCGATGTCAAAGACGCTGCCCCAGGATAGTGGATACAGGGCGTGAGGGCATTGCTGGGGGTATATATGCATCAATGCTTGCTGGTCTACACAAAACTCATAGGATCTAGAATAAAGAAGGCTTACATGGTCAATAGCATGGAGTTTGCCCTTGTACCGAAAGACGAGGACCTGTTCGTTGATGTTGCCCGGCATGTCCAGGTCCGCCTCGACGGGGGTGTCGGACGGGCACTCGTCCGTGGTGGCCGTGGTGGGGACATGGAATGCCTTGCAGCTGGCCTTGATCCGCGACTTGGCATCCTCGGAGTCGACGTCCGGGAAGTCGGACGCGAGGCCGACCTTGCGCCAGGTGGCTGCTGTCTGTGATGGTCGGTGGAAGGGATTCATTGCCGGTACGGGATGGAAGTATAGTTGGGAAAGTGACAATTGAAGTCGATGTGACTCGCTCGCTTTTTCGCGCCTGCGGGGGGGAATTTGCGAAGGGCGATTAGTCATCGAGCTCAAGTGTTTCTCCGCACCCCACATTAATTTCCCCAGCACAAGCACAAGAAGAGGGCTGTCGCTTCCCTACGGTGGTATTCGGGTTGAATCCGATTGAGACTCAATTCGAAATCGGGCATAGCTAGTTCCACTGTAGCAATCGCAAATACTCTTCTCGCTTGATACACACATATAGCACAGGTCCGGCCTGGAGACGGAAATCACAAAACAAAGCCGGGGCAACCAGACCATTCGCTATCAAAATCAACCCTGAAACAAAAGAACATCCAAAGAGCCACTCAACCTGACATGACCTGTCATCTTTCAAGAGTCAACAGACAAGAAAAGCACACTGCTCAGCCGATGCTCAGACACATGCCGTCCTTGAGCGCCTTGATCATATCCTTGGTCAAGGGATCCTTCTTGTTGAAGCTCTGCGCCTTGCGCTCGGCGGGCGAGTAGGTGGTGATATCGAGGGAGTCTCCACCGATCGCCGCCTTGCCCCGGCTGCCCGCCCCATAGGCAGTGGCCTTGTTCTTGCGCTCGTACGCCTTGAAGCACGTCGCCCAGCCCCAGGGATCCTGGGCGGCTGCGGGGAGTTCCACGTTCTGCTCCTCGGCCTCCTCCTCAGCCTCAGCGATGATGTCGGCGATGTTCGACGGCCCGTACATGGTGATGTTGTGCTTGGCGCCGTAGGCGAGCAGATACGGTACGAAGTGCTCCCCGGCGTAGGTCTTCTTCTTCTTCTTCCCCTCTGGCGCCTCGATGAACCCGTCCGAGCGCATGGCGTCGGCTTCCCGCGCGACCATCCCCATGAATCAGCCGAGGTTGCGCACGTGGGCCAACTGACCCTGTTGCTCGAGGTCGGCCAGCATGCTCAGGAACATCAGCTCGAGGATAATCATAGTCTCCCCGAAGAGGTCGCCGTCGTCAATTCTGGCAATGGATTAAATGGATTAGCACCGCCCATGGCACTTGTATCAGCAGAGAGTGAGTCCTACCCAACCATGGGGTCGAGCGAGTCGGTGTTGAACAGCAGGGCGAGCGCCTCGCAGATGGCCCACTGCTCCTTCCAGTTGCCGGCGGCCTCCTGGAAGTCGAGCAGCATGTTCTGGGCCACCTCGATGGCGCCGTAGCCGGCGTGGTCGTTGAAGGTGTACATGTCGAAGGCATCCGGGTTGCGCAGATTCAGCATGTCCTGGTAGGTGTTCAAGCGCTGCATGCCGGCGCGCGAGATGGTCCAGCGGTGGTCGGGGTGGTCGGCTGCCGGCTTGCGACACATGCAGCTCTCGCCCGTGTCGCAGTCGGCCGTGGGCTCGTCGTTCTCGTTCTCGCTGTCCTCCTCCTCATTGTCTTCGTCTTCTTCCGCCCTGGGGACCCGGCAGATGCAGACAAACTCGTAGGGGTTGGGCTTCTCCTTGAGGAAGAGGTGGTAGGCGACATCGGCGTTGCCGGAGGCGGAGACCGCGGCCCAGCGCTTGTTGCGCGGGATGTTGGTTGTTTCAGATGCCATTGTGTGAGGGAAGTGAGGTGAGATGAGATGAGCTGTGGAAGGAATAAAGATAGAATGAGCAATGGGAATTGGGGGTGGATGGTAAAAATAAGGGAAAAGGAGAGTTTGGATGTGTTGAATGTGAGATGAATGTGATGGATCAAATTCCACCCATGATAAGATAACTAAGTTATGCGTGTTTGTTCGTCACAACGCGCGGGACGCGTTGTTTGCTTAGGGTGTCGTCATTTCCACCTAGAATCAGCACCGTTAGTTAGGTCAAGTTACTGTCCATTACTCATGATTATTATTGCCACTTCTGCCGTATCTCTACATCATGCACTCTTTTGCAGAAGCATTTGTGCCGGAACTGACTTTGTGGCCAAAGTAAGGGAGTCTTTGACAGGCATGTCATGGGTGGAGCGCTATGTGGGCCCCTGTCAGATCACCTTCCTCAACTGTAGGGTACGTACACGGTATGCATCCTTTCCTACCTGTCGATCAATGGCTTCGGAAAGACTGAGAGGAGACTACAATCAACTTCAACCGTGATATCGAAGGAGAGATGTGAATGGAAGGACCGTGGACACCGCAGAAGGAGGTCCGATTAGGTACGCTGGCTCTTTGCGCACGGCCAATCATGTCACGAGAACTCATTTCCTCAGCTTTGACTGCCTGCACACTTCCAGCTGAAGAACAACCCTTGAAAAGCCAGGAATGTATGTTCCTGGAACATGAAACAAACCACTGTTGAGGCTTATTGACGTGTGGCCAAGTAAGCGGATGTACTGTGCAGCAATGCTACCAGTACCTCACTTATGCCCGACCCAGCTGCACAGCATATCATCAGATACCCAATGATCAAGAGTGATGCATGCTTCGAAACTACGGACCTGAAGGCATATTGCTCTGAGGTGATACTATGTCAAGCAATACAGCACAGTGGTTCGAACTAAAGACCTTATCGGATAACAACATGTGGACTGAACAGCGTACGGCCGCGTATATCACATGATTCTCCAGAATAAAAGATTCGGCAAGCATTAGATACCAGAGACATGAATTCAAAACTGATAACTTGATCACTGCATCGAAACTGGTTTCCAACCGCCCGTGAGTGCCTGGCAGCGACCCGTCTGACGGACACCATTTCTACTGTGCAATCAGCTGAGCAATGTCTACATCCTGTTTGTACGTGCAGTCAGCATCCAGTCAGTGCGGTCATAGGCGGAAAATGCCACCATACCTTCTCGTTGAAATCGTCTCGTCCCGTGTAATACTGACCTAGGGACTCATAGGTCATCCTCGGCATACCAGGAACCAAAGCAAGGTCCCACCCCGCAGATATCGCAGCTGCATCGCCGCCCCCGCGCACCATCTCTGCAAGCTGCACATCCGACGGCACGTTGAATGCAAAGCGTTGCAGAATTTCTTCTTTCTGCTTTACGGAGCCCCGCACCCAGTCCAAATAATGTGGCTTGTTCGGCTCGTCCGTCTCCTGTCGACCCCCACGACGCGAGACATTGTCCGTGACCAGCACGGACTTACCCGGCTTCAGCAGCCCCAGATTCTCGGCCAGCCAGAGATCAGGGAGATAGCGATCCTTGAAGTGATCGAGGAAGAGGACGTCAATGCCATCGTCGAACACCCCTTGCCTCGTCAGCCGGGCCAGAGACAAATGCGCCGGGGCCACCAGCAGGGTGATAAAATCCTTCAACCCGGCCAAGTCGATCAGGAGACTTGCAATGGCCGCGCTGACGGGGTTGATCTCTAGACTGAAATAGTGCTGGCCTCCGGCTTGGCGCACCGCGTGGCCGAAAAGAATGGTCGAATATCCGACGTACCCGCCAAGCTCGACCATCATTTGCGGCTTTCGCTCGGCAATAAGCGAGGAGACCACGGCGCCTTTCTCCGGGCCAATGTGAATCAGATGGGACTGCTCTCGGGCGAACCGGTCAATCTCTGCCAAGACTGCGGCCGGGTTGCCACGGAGGGAGGTCTCCAGATGAGGCAGGGAGAAGATGTGTTGCAGAAGAACGAGCTCGCGGCCGTCCTGCTTCCACGCAACTATTTAGCTTCTGCTGCTTTACTGTGATTGGGGAGGTAGGTGGCATACTTCACGGTTATACCTGGGATTACCCATCTCGGATGTCAGAATATTATGCTTTATGCTTAAGATCGAAGAGATTGTCATGCGAAAAAAAAAAAAAAAAGAGTTGATTACGTGCCTGATGCATTCTGGACCACAGCCGACCATTTTATCCTCGGAACGCCCACCCTGATATCCATGGACCAAGGATTGTATGATTTCTATCAGATTACCGCCGAAGTCCGAGGTCTTGGCTCTCGCAAGCCGGTACTGAATCGGGGCTAGTGTGGCGGCAGAAGCCCGATGGAACCGGGTAGGGCTCAAGCCAAGCCCTAATCAGATACATTCTTTCGCAGATGCCTTCCTACGACAATCAGATTAAATAAGCGTCGAGCCATGGCGATTTTGATAATCTGATCATCTGATAAACTCTGTTCCTTCGCCATCGTTTGCATGCATTCAACGCAGCCTCCTCGAGATGGTTTTTCCAGGCAAGCTAAGCTCCGGCTGCGTTCTCTGTCGCAAGCGCAAGGTCAAGGTACGAGGGAACTTGTTCTCTGTTGCTCTAAATTTCTCTGCAATAGTTGTACGTATACTGACAACCAAGTACAGTGCGATGAAGGCAAGCCAGGCTGTCAGCGCTGCAGCACGCATGGGGTCTCTTGTCCGGGCTATCCCGACTCCTTCGCTTTCCGAGGATATGAGCTTGCGCAGGGAAGCACTGCCGGGAAGTTGAAAGTCGTCCGAAACGCGAGGTCATCTCCCTCTAGCCCACATGGGCCGAAGCAGAAGAAGGTCGACTCCGCAAAGATGCAGCCAAGAAGCACGATTACTTCAATCATTCCCGAGGACAGCGAGCTGATGTCACTATGCTACTTTCACCACCACCATGTGCTGAAAGTCCAGCGATCGCCCTGCGAGGGCCATCTGGCCTTCTTCCCGGACCTCTTCCAAGAGCGGGGCAACGATCCGTGCTTCAAGCATGCCGTTCTCTCGGTGTCCTACCTGACGCTCTTCCACAGGGCGCGGGTGCCCAAGTTTCAGATCAATGCACGAAGGCACTATGGTCTGGCCTTGCGGCTGTTGAATCAGGCACTGAGCTTCAGCCAGGCGCAAGTACGCGACGAGATCTTTGCCGCCTCGTTGTTCCTGAGCATGTTCTCGGTAGGATGGCCCGACAAGGATAAACAACGAACACTCATATCGAGCGTGACTAACCGAGCACCTGGCCAGGATCTGAGTGGGGAGGGTGCGACGACAGGATCCCTGAACCCCCACATCCCCGGCATCTACTCCCTTATGCAACTGCGCGGCATCCCATCAAGAAGCAACAAGTATAGCCGGCGCCTATGCGGCTGGGCATACACCCAAATGGTGAGTACCAGCACGCCCTCCCGCTGCAACCAAGAGAGTGCGCCCTAAGCCCACCCCGCAGCAAGTGCAGGCGATGATCCGCCGGGAATTCCGATATGCCTGCATGCCGCCCTCCTTCGACGGGATCACGCACCCGTGCACCGTGATCCGCTCCTCGATCCTGACGGGCAAACTCTCCGACTTCTGCATGCAGGCCACCGACGCTCGTCGGCGCACGAGCCCCTCGTCCCCGATCCACGCCGACACCCTGCACGCGCTGCTGGTCCAGGCGTGCACCCTGCTGATCGAGCTCCACAACTGGCAAGCCACCATCCCCAACCACTGGCGCAATCAATACGAGAATCCTACCCCCACACCCACACCCACACCCTCGCCGCTCTCCGAGCACCACCACACCGCCGCCGATTTCCACAGCACGTCCGAGTCTCGTGCGCGGGATCCGTGGACGACCTGCTTCCTGGCCGGGGTGCAGGCGGCGCAGATCTCGTTCTACCAGCAGTTCCTCGACTGTTGGGAGGAGTGGTGCTTCCTGCAGGGCCGACACGCCTCCCTACCCGAGTTGGCGGTGCTGGGGCTCCCGGATGATCCGGCGATGTTCCTGCTGGATGGGATCGCGTATCTGGTGGAGGTGATCTGCGCGACGGTCACGAGTACGCTTGGCGATCTCGATGTAGAGGCACGCCACCGATTTCGGCTGCATGAGCATGCCAAGCTGGCCAACGGGTATACGCTGCTCTGGCCGATGTGGGTGGTCGTCAACTGCCCCTTCGCCGACCCGGATCGGATCATGCTCTGTCGGGCGGCGATTGAGTGTGTGGGGTCCACCATGGGGTACAAGCTGGCCTTGCATTTGATTGAACCGGGCCGTGGGGGGTGGGCTGACTGCTGACTGAAGCATGAGTCTCACCGTTCGAGAAGATGAACAGCATCCTACCGGATACCTGGCTGGTTGCTTGTGCACCCGACTCGGCGGCCCGGAGAAATGTTACCTGGATCCTTACCATACTGCTAGACTGGTCCAGTGAGCAGACTCCGAGGCCAGCCGGCGACATTCATTAGGCCCATCGTTTCCGAGAAGGGGCCACTTTCCCTCAAAAACAGACCACATCAAGCTCCGAGGCAATGAGCGTTCGGCTGGATTGGGAAATGAACCGGCCGATGCCTGCCCGCTTCGTCTACGCATCTCCCACCCATTCGTGTGGCAAGATAAAATCCATCTGCAGCCCCACAACCAGCCAAGCAACGGCAGGGATATTTCCTCATTCGCTGCACGAACATAGAGAGGAGCCTCGACCGGCCAAGCGCCCAGGCTTCGTTCACCAAGCCAACATCGAGACTCCAGTCAGAAAGGCCCAAAGGTATAGCCTACGCCAAGCTAAATGACCTCGACCCCAACACGCAGTAATCCCCTTTTGAGCATGTCTTTTACAAAAATACGACCGCAGCTCAGCATGATAGAGGGAGATATTATCCGCCCAGACCGACAAGGCAACCAGCCGTGGAAATTGGAGTTTTCTACAATCTGCTTTGATATACAGGAAACACGATCGCCGTCCTTGAAGGGATCAATCGCAATGAGTCCGCCACAGTTCCCGATCCGCATTGTTTCAATACGCGGTGCGGGTATGCAGCATGGCCGTGATGTCGTTGACAAGCACATCGCCCACCTCCTAGGCGAGCCGCAGACACACCCGGTAGTCATACAGGAGCCGGTCGATGACGGGGATCAGCCGGGCGCCGCCGTCCGCGGCGTTCTCGATCCTGACCACGCAGGTGGAGAACTTGGTCTTGCTCGTGGATGGAGAGGCGCACATAGTCCCCGCGCTGGGCCTTGATGGCGGAGGCGTAGATCTGCCCACGCGCAAGCATGCGCCGCGCCGTCTGCGAAATCTCCTCGACCCGCGCCCGTTCAGACTTGGCCAGCTTTGGGCGATGGGCGAGATCCTTGGTTAGGAACTTGATGTACCCCCGATACGTGAGGAGGAGGTCCATGTCCGCATTTATGGCCTCCCGGGGGTCGAAAGAAGGGTCCTGAAAGCGCAGGGTGAGCTCGCGGCGCAGGCGGGATGCATGCGTCACGTAGAACTCTTTCGTGGATCTGGGGTGCTCCAGCAGGTCGGCCAGCCGAATGAATCGAATGTGAGCCAGGTTCTGGTCCACGGCGATCTGGCGCAATGCTTCGCCATAGTCCCAAACCACTTCATCGGGGACCCCGAGGATGTCTGGTACTTGTCAGTTGGGTGGAGATTGAACTATATAATAGAAAGGAAATAAACCTACCGTTATGTACAAGACCCTCTGAAGAAATACGTACCTCTGCCCCCGGCAAATATATTTGGGTGATGTTCAGGCAAAGCCCGTTTAGATGCTGCAAGGCCAACTCCTCCCCCAGATCGGGGAGCACACCTAGGGTTTTATCCTGGTAGTTGGGACTTGAAAGATAACGCAGGCAGAACCATTCGAGCAGGCTCTTGCTTCTGCACAAAGCTCATGATTGTCGGGAGGAAGCCTTCCGCATTCTCCCACGACATGGGTCCACCCCTCTGGCAATTGACGGTGTAGTCGGCTAGGACTTGCAAGATCGCCTTCGCTACATCTCTTGCTGGGCTGTCGTCGCTCTCCTCTTTCACTGTACACATGATGCGCCATCCTTGTTGCAAAAGAACGGGGAACAGACTGACCATCTGTGACATTGGCCTCGATGAGTCCATCTTTGAGAGCTTCCACAGCCCCAGCTGTGTCTTGTTTTGCTTCAATGTGCAGGGTCTCGTTAGCCAGGGCATTCGGCGAAGTGCCTGAATTAGCGTTCTAGTGGCTGCTGCGAGGCGGCGGACACCGGGGGGTGGCGGATGGAACAAGCATTCCAGGAGGAAATTCCGAATGGGCTGGCACTGGTATCTTCCGATGGAGCTAACAGTCTCTCTTAAATGCGGAGATGAGAACATTGCTATTGATTTCGCCGGCCTTGAATCAGATGTCAAAAGGGGGTCTGGGCAAGTCGTCCCACAAGCTGTGGCTAGCCTCTTATAACGAATGAAGACGTTGTCTGGCGAAGAACAGGCTACCGGAGCATGAGCCAGGACATCAGACAGTGCGACAGTCAATGTTCCCTGCCATGTCACCACTGGCCAAGAGCCCTAACTTCCCGCCTCCCGACGTCAACCGTCATGGGTTGAGCTTAGATTAGGTCAAGTTCTTCGATGGAGAAAAGCGCAAACAGTACAACGCCGCCACGCCTCCGGATGCGGTCGAGAACTTCAATGCTTTCATCATCGATCATGTCTCTACAGGCACTGCGCTGGCCATTGCGAAGAGTAACTGGGCTCTGTCCTTCGGCCAGCGTCCGTTTGTGGCCCATGGCGTCATGTGTGGCATCACGTTCACCTACGGCGGGTTGCGCACGGATGATGCGGCGCACGTCTTGAATGAGGAGGGGCTTGTCATGCCGGGTCTCTGGGCGGTTGGGGCGATGGCCGGGCGCTTCTTCGCCTTCAATTATCCGGGGGGCTCGGGGTTGACTCAGGGGGCGGTCTTTGGGAAGATTTTGCCGGCGAGGCGGCGGCTCAGAGGGCGAAGACAGTCCGTGGCTGAGTAGTTGCCTGTTGTCTATACTTTAATCAATGCGGAATCTATTCTCGATGCTCCCAGGACATGATTAGATAATACTGGAGTAAGCGTAGCTTCTTGCAGGTGGGATTCTGAATGATCAGTGCAGGTAACGTGTTGCTCTTGAAGACAATTGTGGCGGCATAGGGTTATCTCCAGCGAGGCCCTAAGGCCGTCTGTCCCATTCGCGCCCTGGTGGCTTCCAGTACGCAAAGCCAAGCTATATGAGTATAAACACTGCGAAGGAGAATATAAACAAAGTAGCAGAGATCGAGGGAGCGGCAGCTGGACTTCACGATTGCGTTTGAGAGTGATCTGCATGAGATGAGTCGATTCTCGGAGATCCGTGGGGCAGATCCACCCAGCATGACTCGCTGTTTGCGCGGTAACCACAATTTGTTATCAGCTGAACTACGGAGACCCTACCATTGATTGATTCATCAGATGACGTAGAGATTGCAGATCTAATCCACTTTTAGCTCGAGCTGAAAACTACAGACCATACTGAGTAGTAAGAAGAGCCGGTCAGCTCCCGACAATAGGAAAAGACCCACGAGCTGAGAACTTTACTCAGTCGTATCGCCCACTCAGCCCCTCCACCAAAGCCGATGTGATAAGACGACAACAAGATCGATCCACATAGCGTGGCTGGGCTAAGCCGCAGCTGAAAGCTTACGTTGTATTCCCCAAATGCTTCTATAAATTGAGCTTCAGGCCACGTTTCTGCTTCGGCTTGTTGCCAGCTTCCCAGCATATCCATCAACCCCAAGACCAAGACCAAATCTAAGATCTCTATCAATCAAGACCAAATTCGAAGCCTAATACTGCCACAAAATGCCTGTCAAAGTCCTTAGAGAGTATGCCTGGGTTCACCCTCCCCTCCATTTCCTCGCCGATGACTGACCTCCGTCTCGTCTTCTAGTCCCGGCGAAGTAATCGAGGCGATCAACGAAACCCCGAAGTCCGTCGTGGTACATTACTGGCCTCCGTGGATGGGGCCCAATTCGCCTCTCCTTCCACTCTTCGAGGAGGCGGACGAGACCCGGGGGGGTGAGGTGGACTTGGTCATTGTGAACAGTGGGTTCATTCTCCCGCCGCATTCACCCGACGAGATGCCCTTGACGGTTCTCTATAAGGGCGGGGAGGAGGTGGAGACTGCACCCTTCGATCCCATCCAAATCCAGCAGCTTATTGATAATGCGTGAGGGAATATGGACCGGAAGGTCTTATTGTGCGTGAATTGAATCTTAGTTTTTCTCTCAAAGATATTGTCATTTCATTCCAAAAACACATTCAAGGAATACACCTATGGTTCGGCTTCAGTAATACAGGGAACCAGCTCTGTATTCACATCACAGCGCTGGATTAGCCCTCGGCTTACAAGGGGGGATGCCGAGGCCAGTAAAGCGGAACACAGACATAAAAGGCAGGAAAAGAAAAAGCAGCCAGCCGGGCAGAAGAAGAAAGCTCGATCAGCGCGAAGCCGAGCTTGTCAATCTCGTCTGCCGCCCTGCCCTGAGCGCCAGTGATGTAGCCAGCCCCGAATCGGGACATTCAGGCGGCTGGCTGAATGCCGCCAAGTGCTGAATGTTCTTGATTGAACAGCTTTACCAGGATGGACCTAGAACAAGGATGACGTCGCAAACATTGGCAAGGATGGAGAGTGCGACCAACAAGACAAAAACATACAACAGAAGGGATTCGCTGGTGGTCACCCACCCAACTACTAACCTCCCGGCGTGTGGCTTAAGTACGGCTGAGCGGACGGGAAGCCCTGTTTTCCACACCCTGTGGTCGTATGTGCTAGTACAAACCATGGGAAAATATATGTAGCCCGTGTGCAACGAGCTTGCCAGAGCCAGTCGCCTCCGAAGCGGATAATAAAGTATCAAGGAAGGGAGGTGTATTTATCTAAATCATAAAAGTATTATTGAATCTACCAAAGAAAAATCAGGTCATCAAGGCCAGGACACGCCCCAGCCATCACCCATCACTGAAACTGGGCTCCAGGAGGCGGGATCCAAAGCGGGTTCCGGCGGCACCGGTACTTGAACTGCGTCAAGAGGTGCGTGATCTCAGCGGATTCCAGCGCAACACTGTACGCGTGATCTTGCCAGCGGCTATTGACGGGGGTGTGCAGGGCCAAGGGGTCGGCGGACAGGCGCTTCGGCTCACAGTCGCGGTTCATGGCGTAGAGCCGACACTGACGGTTGATGAGCACTATGCCCTTGAAATCCAGGGTCCGCCCCGCCGAGGCCGGGGCCAGACTCTGGAGGTGCAAGAAGCGCTTGCGCCCCGCCCAGAGCTCCTCCGGCACCCCCGGTTGGGTTCCCCCCAACATGGTGAAGAATACTCCGGAGCTGGGGGTCGAGATCTCAACGAACTCGTTCAGGACCTGGTTCTCGTCGTACGTGTTGGTCGACCAGCCCCGGAGGTAGATGTATCCCTCCGCGCGCGGGAAGACCGAGTCCAGGATGGTCACCACTTGGTCGAACAGGGTGGGCTGCTGTGGCTGCGGCTGTGCCATGGCTACGGTTTTGATATAAGTGATAGAGGAACTCAAAAACACTTGTTCGTCTCGTGCTTTGTGATGTCGATCCGGTGGTCTTGTCACAAAGGCGGATGGGGATGATGAGACTTCCGTATAGAAATACGAGATGTGAGAGGTACTTATATGGCCTCGTGGGCATCAGAGAATCTCGGAGTCCACTGCGTTCTGGCTCTTCGGCACACGGAACACTTCTGTTATGCTGAAAGAGCAATTGGAAGTCCCCGGCAGTTTGGCTATATAGGATGCAGTAGATTTCCATTAGCGTTTATATAGGGAGATTTCAGGGGATGTTTCATGAGATGCTGAGACATGAAAGCAGTGGAGAGGAATATGCCGCGGCCGACCTTGAATGAAGATATGTACCATTACAGCAAGACTCGGCGTAACCGGAGACCATCAGAGGTGTATGGTGGGTGTCGGAGAAGAGTGGTATAACAAAGAATCCGGTTTATATTGCTTGCATGTGTGGTAGAAGCGAGTGTTATAGATTGAGGCAGCCATGGGAGGGGGAGAGAGGTTGGAAGGTCGCTTTTTTGATCCTCTGATACCTACATACTAGCAGGGTGGATGAGGATGATGGACTGGGTTAGGGCTTGGATCTTGCCTCTTTCGCCGGTAGGACGGGTAGATTTAATTTCCACCTCATATAGTCATAGTCACTTTAGTTCCTGCCCAGTTACAATATAACACCACATATCCACGTTCTGTATGCAAAAATATTATATCCCCGACCCTCCCTCCAACCGCGAAAGCAACCTCACTTCCCCTCCGCATGCACGAAAGTCAGCCGCCCCGGTTTCTCATCCCCCTCCAACTCCTCCATGATCGCCCCTGCCCGCCTGCGCGCGATGAACCCCTTCGTCTGCGACCCCGGCACCAGCCAGGGTTCATGCTCGAACAGGGCCGTCATCTCCTCGAGGGGCCGCAGGGCGGTCTCGGGCAGCACCAGCCAGAAGAAGATGGCGTTCGTGAAGTTGCACACACAAAACACCACGTAGAAGCGCCACCCGCCGATATTGTCGATGGCGATGTCCGTGACCTGGCCGATCATCGTGTTGAAGGCGAACGAGGTCATGGTGGCGATGGAGACCCCCTTGGACCGGGTCTTGGTGTCGAAGATCTCGGCGCAGATGATCCACGTCAGGGGGCCGACGGTCGCGCTGTAGGAGAAGTTGTAGCACCACGTCATCACGATGAAGGCCCAGCTGGCGGAAGTGTTGTTGGAGACGCCGGGAGGAAATTTGGCGATGAGGATGGTGGGGATGACCTTGATGATGAGATTGTTAGCGCGGTTTATACTTCAATTTGTGTCTTCTTGGTTCTGTTGAGGTCGAGACAGTTGGTGGAAGGGGGTGCTTACAAAGAAGAGGCAATTGAACAGATTGCCAATGATCTGGGGCCACCGACGGCCCGTCTTGTCGATCATCATCATGCAGCAGAATTGAGCAATGATGGCGATGATGGAGCTGATGCCTTGATATTTGAGGGTGTCGTTGGCGGCGATGCCAATTTGCTCGAAGATGGTCGTGCTGAAGTACTGGATGGCGCTCACCCCCGTCATCTGGGCTGCGGCCTGGATCGAGCACGCCAGAAACAGGCGGCGGAAGCAGGACGGGTCCGTGAAGAGCTCCTTGTAGGATTTGGCCTCGGCCTCGTGCTCTTGGGCGATCGAGACGGTGATCTGTTCGTACTCAGCCTGCACCCAGGCGTCGGAGGTGTCGCCTCGGGCGTGGAGGCGAGCCAGCGTCGCGAGGCCCTCGTCCAGTCGGCCATGATCGATCAGCCAGCGGGGCGACTCGGGGAACAGCAGGATGAGCGCGGCCAGAAAGACGGCCGGCACCATCTGGATCCCCAGGGAGACGCGCCATTGGCGGGAATCATCGTCCGCAAAGTTGATGAAGGTGCCCCAGGAGATCCACGACGCAACCAGGGAGCCCACCCCGAGCATCAGCTGTTGGAGGGATGTGATCCGGCCGCGGATGTTCGGATGGGCCAATTCCGCCTGGTAGATCGGGACAATCATGACCAAGATTCCGACTCTTCAACCCATGAAAGAAACCCATTCAGTCAGCTCACGCGCTTCCCTGGATCTCGGTAATATGCTCACCCCAGCCCTGCGACGGCTCGACCAGCGTACAAATAACTCAAGCTCTGCGCACCTGTCTGCAAGCCTCTGTTTCCGTTAGCCTCCTTGCAATAGTCCAGCGCTGCTCAAAGATCGCGTACCCGCCCAGCAAAAAGATCAGGGCGCCGACGAAGATGGTCCATTTCCGGCCGGCATAGTCGCCCAGTGGACCGGCAAAATAGGCACCAAAGAAAGCGCCACCGGTGAAGACGGAGGTGACTGCTCCGCGTTTGGTCGCGTCGGCGTTAAAGGCATTGATAAGCGAGGGGCTGGTGAGTGCCTCGGCGATGACACCCAGATCATATCCGTACAGCACCGATCCCAGCGACGCAAAGACACACACCAGAAACTGATACCATTTGGGAGGGAGAGCCATGGTGAACCCGGGCCGTGCGGACAAAGAAAAAAGGACAACAGAAAAAAAAAGCTTGAATGTGCCACATTAAATTCCTCCCCGAGTGTCAAGCTTTATGCAAAAGTCTTGGTGGTGAGAAAAGAGGGGGAAGAGGAATCCCCCGCAGGAGTTTTTCCCTTTTGCTCTCTGATGCATCTTCGGGATGGCGCCTGAGCCGCCGGAGGTGGCGTGGTGTCGCTCACTCACACGCCAGCCTTCATGAACAAACGCCGCTGGCTTATCAGAGTTAAGTCAAGCCTTGCGGGTGGCTTTGTACAATAACTCCTTGGCCCTATGCCGGGGCCCCGGGATTTCAGACGCTCCCCCGCCGGAGTCTGTCACGGTCTGCTTGTGGGGTGGTTTGGGGGACTGAGTCATTTGACTGATAGGTTAGGAAGCGGCTTCGCTCATTTGCTTGTCATAATGGTGCTTGACACGTCCCTCCAGATTATGGGTTATGACATAGGCAAATCATAAATCTGCTCTGGATCCATTATGAGATCCGAACCTCCCCAGCTGTTGGCGAATTTTCCGGGAAAGGAAGGCCAGGATACGTGGTGAAGCAATTCTCATGACGCGGGGAGGCCCTATAATACATTTTCTAGCCAGCGACTCGAATAACACCTGGTATCATGATCAGTAAGACAACAAATCGTTCAAGGTGGGACACCAACCACCGTGACTGTGGCTGAAGATGGCGTGGCGTGGCCCTGTAGAGTATGAATACGTCAGCGGGAAGGCCGAATGCCGGGGCGGGCAGTGCCGGACTTAACTATGGATTTAATTAGGGCTGATTCGGCTGAAGCCGGAAAGGCCACGCGGCCTCCGCCATCCCACCCATTCGACCTCAATGAGTCTAGACTTCCAAACTGTGGACACAGAGTTAGTTCCGTCGGGGAATTCTACCCGGACAATCTGGTTGGCTCTATCCAAGAAAAAAGCGTTCTTTTTTTCATGGTACGCGGAACGCGCCCGCGCATACACACACAAACACACCCATCCACAATTTCACACTCAGGCACACCAACAAGATAGTGGTACGCGATCTTTGGGACGTCGAAGCAGTTTTGATTGGTCTGGATACCCTGGATGACCTGGACAGGGAAACAAAGAACCAAAAAATAAATAAATATTAAAAAGAGGAAGGAAAAAACGGACGAATGAGTCAAATGAAAAAGTATGTATTCCAACTATGAGATCTATGGTATGGGTATCGCATCTACCAGTACGACACAGATATAGCCTAGTTGGAGTGCTGCACGGGGGGCAACAGCGCGATCTTAGAGTCCAAACTGAATGTGAAGGAGTCGGAGGAAGAGGACTCCGACGAGGAGGAGCTGGATGCCGAGAAGGAAGACTCGTAAGAGGACGACGAAGAAGTGGCCGAAGAGGAGGCTGACGACGCTGACGACGACGTAGACGAGGCAGAAGAGGAAGAGGTAGAGGTGGAAGTGGAGGACGACGAGCTCGACACATAGACATCGCCCACGGAGTTGACGGCATCATCGGTGAACATGTAGTTATTGGCGCAGTAGAAGAAGGCGTAGCGTGTCACAGAGGACTGGGAATCGAGCCAAGAGACCGCCTCATCGAGGAAGCTCACGGTGGTGTCGGCGTCGGAGACACCGCTGGTGTCGGCGCTCAGGCCGAATTCGGTAAGCCAGACCTCGGAGATGTCGTAATCGGCGGCGGCCTCGATGGCTTCGTTGACAAAGGTCTTGAGTTCGTCGACCGAATCACCGTACCAGTGCACAGCGAGGGCGGAGATGTTGCAGCTGGAGCAGTCGCTCATGAAGCTCTTGAACCAGTCCAGTCCCTCGCCGCTGCTAGTGGAAGAGGTCACGGCGGGACTGACTAGCTTGGCGCTGTTGGCGTAGGGGGTGATGTACTCCGCGTAGAGTTCCGCCGCGGTGGCAGCGGTCATGTCAGCCTGCGACGACATGTCGGGCTCGTTGAAGCCCAGGATGTACGAGCTGCCCGACGAGAGTGCGGTCTCCACCGCGTCGGTCCAGCCATCGACATAGTCAGAGCCGGAGCCCCAGAGCATAGGGACGTAATCCACGCCCGAGGGCATGTCGCCTCCCATAGAGCTGCCCCAGTTGTAAGACCACGACACGGTACCAGCCTCGTCGTTGGTCAGGGTGCTCACCAGGGTAGCATCATTGTACGCAGCACCGCGCTTGCTGGTAGAGCGCTTCTGTAGGCTGGTCCTCCGAGTTTGAACCGGGAAGGCAACAGCTGAAGCAGCAAGCAGGCCAGCGGTCAGAGAATGGGCGAAAGAGGGCATCTTGCGGACAATGATTGGACAAGGCCAAAGGATTGAATGAATGGGTTCTCGGACGAGATTGGGAAAAGACTGTCTTGGGACAAGTGAATGACCTGACGCAGTAAAAGGAAAGACTGGGTGCACAGCACACGATTCGAACAAGGAATGAATGAATGATGAATTCAATTGACCAGGCGATGGAGATATTGGTGATGAAGTAGGGGAACGTGTGTTATATAGGCAAGCGAGCCCTAAGTTGGCAGGCAACCGCCGGTCCGCCCGGCATCGCGGCCATGGACGATGGTGCTTGGGTGGGCGCATGGCTGAGAATCTAGAATCGGTATACCAACTGCTGACAGCCCCGCTGCTGCGTAAGTCAATGATGGCCACCTATCCAAGCCCTAACCGCGAGTGTGGGGTGGTACTAGGTGTGGTCAGAGGACGCACTAGCCACTAGTCACTACTTAGGTACCATATCCAGGCTGATGCCGTACTGACAGGCAGAGTACCCATTGGCTCGAATGTTGACGCCGGCTCGTTGAATCAATTTTAGCAGTCGACCGCAGCAGCCGGTGGATCCATGGCGACGTTGTTTTCATGGCTGTGGTGGGTCTGTCACTAGTCCGGAACTCTAGATCGGTCCAAGACTCCAAGCAAATGGACGGAAATATCTTCGGTGCGATAACGATTGGACTATTTTCAGGCATCAAAAACTAGGTTAGCCCCGACAAACATGAAACACATACGTAAGCCTTGCTGAAACACCAGGAGTCAATGCACCGGCCATGTGTTCCTGAAAGACTGAGTTACAACCTGCTGAAGTTGCGAGATGCTGCTGGAATATACCAATCAATTTGCCACAAGTCTGAACTTCTCCTCGCTTGTCGTAGCTTTGCAAATTGGTCAATCGCTCTACACTCCGTACTTTCAGTTTTTGATCTTTTTGAGAAGTCATGCGGTTTGTTCACCGCGACATAGCCGACCATCCTTAGACAGTAGTCCTCCCCACGAACTCTTCAAAAAATAGAACAAATACTGTACAGTTCTGCCAGCTCTTTCACGTTCTTTGAGTCATACCACCCCTGCAAAGCCGTTGCAGTACTCGACTTCGACGATTGTACTTGCCAGACTCATCTGCCTTGTTGGGCAACTTGGTCCAGTGGGATTATCTTATGGTCTATACCCGTCCACCTAATATGAATCACGGCCGGCCAACTAAAAGACCACGAGCATCTGAGAGAATGCCCTAGAGTAGGCATACTCGACGACCAGGATTGGACTGTGCACAGCGCTCATCCTGCAATAGCCCAAATTTCGCCCGCAGACCTCGGTTGCCTTGCGCTTTTGCCACCGTCACATCGCAGGAGGAGAGAAATCTACATCCCCATGCCAACCCCTTTGCTCAGGCAGTGGGTAATCCGACCAGTAGGTATTCCTATCAGCTACGACTTCCACCTCTGGCATGTTCCGGGGAAACACGGTACCTGTACAGCACAGACGCTGCGATGCGCGTAATTAACGACACGACGGGCGGATCTAAAGGGAGACACCCACATCCGATCCGTCCGCAGCCGAATATAGTCTGATAAAAGGGTTCTGCCGGATGCTGGTCAATTCAGCGATCAAGTAATGGCGTACGGGCTGGGCTATAGCAATAAGGGTGTGTATGCCGAGTTCGATGAGAATTGACTCCAGAATCTCGGGTCTACGCGCGCATGGTGGTGGGCTATGCTGTAAATCTGTGTCGGTGTCGATGTCGATGCCATGTTCTGTGTGGGTTCACACAGGGCTCATTGCGGTTTTTAATTCTCTAGTTCGGTTTGGTGTTGACAGAGAGTGACCCTCGGTTGACATAACCCAAGCAGGAAATATATAACCACTGTTCACACTCAGCAAACCATGGAACAATCTACATTCAAACTGCTAGCCTTACCGGAAGATTAGAAACCACCACATAAATGTATGAGTCTAAGAAAGATACAATAACATAGGTTGGTGCATGTATAATGTCCAGATTCATCTGTTTTGTAGCCCGACCATAAAGTGGATCTTGCCCGGTAAGCTCGATGAGAGCGCAGAGCAATACATGTAGTATATATTTATACAGATGGTTTCAGATGTCACCCACATGGGCCTATGGCGCAATTGGTAGCGCGTACGACTCCAGATCGTAAGGTTGCCTGATCGAGCCGGGCTGGGCTCATTTCTTTTTCCTTTTTTCATTTTAGTTTTTCTTTTTTCTCGCCGCCCCCTTTTTCCTGATCCCCATGTTCATGTTGATTGGTCTAAACTGCGCAGCTGGCTCCCCTGTCGCCGTCGGAATCTACACCTCTTTCGGAAAGCTTTCGCTATGCTGTGAGCCCTTTGTGAAGTTGAATAAGCACTGGACTGTGCTTGGCTGTCTATCACTTTTCCCTTTCCATCTGACATCCTTCTCAAAAGAGACATTAGAGCGTCCTCACCGAGAACCAAATATATTCCAATAGGCATCACATGCACAGCAGTAAACCGTAACCAGTCGACACCCTCCCGAGCACACCAGCGGACGAAGCCTGGACCGACCCTGCAAAAATTTGAATGCGACGATCGCGAGCCACCAGAACTGTAAATAGTATGAATATTGAGTCGCAAAATTACAACCATGACCACCCGCGCAGAGTCTGATAGTCATGAGCTGTTAAGAAAAGGCTCCCAGCTGTGAGAAGTGGATGTGTATTAAGATGTGTGTATTGTAGAATACGTGGAAGCTTGGCGCATATGATGAAGTCCGAGGCAATGTGACCAGAGGCATCTCACATCAGTCTTACAGAGACCCTTCCTGCATGGTCATCTACGCAGGGAAATCCCCTACGATCGGCTCGAATGGGGCCCCCGTGCAAATCATTTGGATCTCTGGTACAGCAAAGAAATATGCTCGCCCAGATTCAAGTAGATCTGACCCGATGGGGAGTTCCATATCCGAGAGGCCCCTTCCACAGGAGCAGCAGTCAGTCGTACCTTCTGTATACATAGAGAGACTTCAATTCAAAACAAATCTGGTCAATTTGAGCATCGGAAGACCTGAGATGTACAGTACAGATACCAGTACAAATCTTACCTACGTGATCTTATTGTTACCCCCTTCTATCTTACTTCATCCTCGAAAGAAAGCAAGGAACCGAGACAGAAAACCACAATTATGACAGGCGGCCCAGCCGCGACCCAGCCCGCAGCTTCTGCGTCCCATGCACCTAAAGATCGGTGGGAAGACTCTCCTGTTGACCGTGATGTTCTCAGGGCCCACGAGTACTGCACTCAACGATGCCTGCTGGGCCTGCAGCGCCATGGTAAGCTGGACGAGCAGTGTCCCAACGTCGAACGGCACCGAGTCAACGGCAGCACCCACCATCCCACTACTGTGGAGGAGCTGGTGGAGCAGATCCAATTGGGACTGGATCACAACCTGGAGCGAGCGATGCCCATCGTCGGGCCCGGCTACGGACGCCCTGCTCGCCCTGGTGGCTCCGGCGCCCCCTTCAAGGTCGTCTCTCCCCGGTTCGGATACGCGGTGGTCGGAAAAGGAACCCTGTGTTGTATCTGGCCGCGCCTCGAACGGGAGGCGGATGTGTACACGCAAATTCTGATGGCAGCACAGGGGTCCGCGGTGCCCGTGTTCCTGGGCAAGATCAACCTGCAGCAGCCATATGAGCTAGAAGGCTTCGGACGGGTTCGCCACATGCTTTTGATGGGCTATGGGGGCGAGGAGATCGGAATGGTGACGACCGTGGATGAATGGGACAAGTACAATCATCAAGCCACGTCCGCTCACGAGATCGAGGACCTCGGGGTTATGCACAAGGACCTGGCGCTTCGGAACGTGCTGTGGAATGCGGAGCTGGGACGGGTCATGATCATCGACTTCGAGGCGTGTGAACTCGTGCTGGACCGGATCGCCGAGCGGCCTGCGTGGGTGCCAGAGGAGCTGGCGAGTCGCCCGTCGCAACAAATGTCTTTGGGTAGGTTCTCAATCGAGTCTCGTGGGCACTGCAGATTCCACCAGGTGTGCTGCCATTATGACCCGGACGCGACTTGTCCCAATAGAAAGTATGGCTTACCACCATAGAACTTCGTCTCTGGGCGATCTGATTTCTATTCATTCAGGGTTGATAGATTAGTTTAGCCAGATTTCTTTCTTCATGTAATAGAATTCATGTCTGACACCAATGTCGAAGGGGAACTCTTCGAATGCTACACAGCCGTCTTTTAAGTCCTATAGCAAGCGTCGTGGTGACGCGGCCCCGCAGTAATTCAGAATGCACAGACACCTCCGACATAAGCCATGCTTTCTTCATTTGACAGTCATTGGCTAGCATGGGGATGCTAAGCTCAATGGTGGTTAGCATGCTTATTCTCCACGCATGACAGTGGTGCTCGGATAAATCGGGTCAGCATGGGTCCCACCAGTTAGTGCAATAATTCGCGCATACATCCCATCTTCTCAGCCTTGCAAGAGATAGCATCTTCTTGAGACAGATATAGTCCGTTATTATGGATAAATAACGCATGCTGGAGGTCTACGCCTTTGTTGGTTTGCTCCTCTTAAACCTTCTGTAGCTCAGGCCTACATGTTGCCCCGAGCTAGGGGGGTCGGGGTGGTGGTCATTTAGTAGGCGAACTATGATAAGATAATTTAAATGCCTCACATATCATCCATTTTGCACTGGATCCAAGAGAAAGTCTATCCTAGAGTTCTCTTCAGGTACCTACCGGGGGATGATGAGGCAATTACCTGAGCAATACTGCGAGGCGTCATGATTGAGACCAGTCTCCCGTGGGCAAGCCCTGCGATGAAACTCCAAGGTTAGCTTGTCGTGCACAGACGATATTAATTCACTCAGTCTGTCAAATGTCTACTGTATGGCATCGAGTTCCACCGCAAGCGCCTCGAACCATTCAAGTATAAGTCCATGATGGCTTGCTGCTGGATTCGGATCAGATTCCATTCTTCAAGTCGAATTTTTTTCACACCCCTCATCTTCAGAAGGCCGCCAACATGATCCGAGTTATCCTAGCCTCCATTTCCTTCTTTCTCAGTCTCGGACAGACAGCAAATATTCCTCTGCCTTCGAGCACCGGACCGTGCGATGTCACGCTCCAGGCAAGTGAACTAGTCGATCTGTCTCGAACCGATCCTTTTGACCCTAAAGGAGGAAAACGTGCTCTCATGATCACCACTTTTACCCCGGCAAATTGCGGAAGTGTACTTTCCACATCATACATCCCGAATGCCACAGCCAGGTATGAGGATGAGAGTTTCCAGCCGTTTGGAATACCCTCAGGGACGTTCGAGTCGTTTCGGATCCAAACCCAAACCCAGCAGCAGCCATTGCCTTCCAGCCCTCAGGGAAATTACCCAGTCGTGCTGTTCTCACCAGCTCTGGAAATCTCAAGACTAGTGTACACATCGCTGCTCCAAGACCTTGCCAGCTACGGATTTGCCGTCATCTCCGTCGATCATCCGTACGATGCCAACATCGTGGAATACCCCGATGGCCGCACGGTGGTCGGAATCCTCGGGAACATCACTACAGATGCACAATACAGCTCAGCAATGAATGTCCGCGTTCAAGACATGAGATTCGTCCTGAATCAGACTCAGAACAGCACGACGCTCGGGGAAATCTTTCCATTGGGCCGGGAAAATTCCCAGCTACTCTCTCTGGATCGAGTTACGATCTTTGGTCATTCTCTAGGTGGAGCCACCGCCGCGCAGACCCTGCTGGTCGACTCTCGATTTGTCGGGGGCATCAACCTGGATGGGTCACTGTGGGGGTCTGTTGTGGACGAAGGACTATCGCGCCCGTTCCTGATGTTCGGGAATGCGAACCACACCCAGGCAACCGACGCCAGCTGGGCAGCGGTTTGGCCGCATCTGCGAGGATGGAAACTCGAACTCAAACTCGCAAAGTCGAAGCACTATACGTTCTCGGACTTTCCAGTGCTTGTCGATGCTCTGAATATCTCAGACGACGCCAAGCAGATTGTCCAGGCCGGGTATATTGGGACTATAGGCGGGCTGCGGGCCAGGAACGTGATCGTTTCGTACATTACCGTCGCACTACGGTACTTCGTCTATGGGCGAACGTCGGACCTACTGAGCGGACCCTCGGCAGCTTTCCCTGACGTGACTTTTGTGTCGTCTTGAGTTGGGGGGTGGTTTTGGACCGATCTGGCTGGCGGGAGAGGTGAGTTGCCAGCTAGCCCTATGCTGTCGCTGTGGTTGAGCCTGATTAGGCAAGATCTTACCCTAAGCTCACTGCTCACGATATAGTGGTTAGAGCGCTCTAGCAGACAGACTTGTGTTACTAAACAACAATTCATTGTCAACAGCTCGTTGAATGACAATCTTAATCTTCCAGTACAAAGAACTTGCACAGGGAGATTTCTTTACTTAGACAATGCCTCTTTAAGGCTATAGTAACCACACAAAGAATCCGGACAACCAAAGATTGTCCGCGAAGACGAGTCTGCATAGTGTTCTTGTCCAACGTGGTCGTGGTGTTGAGAGGCCATTATCTCCATCAATCTTTGTCCATGACTAGCTTGTTTGTATCTCACCCCACTATACTGGAGCTGCATCTCACACAGCACACTCATCCCATCGATACCTCACGTATAAATACCCTCAACACCCTCTTACACCCACTCATCCTCCCCACCTCCACCAGGATTTTTAAAACCCAGGACCTGCACCAACAGCTTCTGTTTACTCACGAAGAGAAACCATCCACAATGGCACCCAACCGCACCCCTCCCTTCCACGGCACCTTCGACGGCGTGATGTTCACGCTCACGCAGCAACGGCACCCCGGCCCGGAGGGGGTGGTGATCGACTACGTGCACCTGGAGTGCGAGGGCCACGAATGGATCTCACTGGCCGGGCGTCTGCTCCAGCAGCACTGGTGCCGGTACCCGCTGCGGCGGGGCGGGCGGGGCGAGCGGCGCGGCGGGGCGGCCGTCATCTGCAGCGGCCGCGTGCGCCTGTACATCGACGAGCCCACCTTCGGCCTGCCGGTGGCACTCCCATTCTTCCACCTGAACGAGGCCGAGTGGACAGCGGTCGATGGTATGGCCCCGCCTCTGCCGGTGCTCCTCGCGCTCCAGGAGCATCTGATGAAGCCGGGGATGGGGCTGACTCAAGAACGAATGTAGGTTGGACTAACCCCTTACAAGGAGGTAGGTAGTAGAGGTGGAGATCTAAATGTAATCAAAGAATAGAAACAAAGAAAAATATCATGAACCCCGGATACCGGGCGATTGATTTTAATTCGAGATCCGAATATGCAACTGCGTCAATTATATCTGCTCGTAATCAAGAAAGTGTCAATTTTGTAGATCAATTGTCTCTTGAACCTTGGATTTAAGCAAATTTCTGCCCAAAAAAGTCAAGGGTCAAGACTTCGATACAAACTCCTCGAATTCGATGAGGGCCTTTACTGGTGTTGCAGCCGTTGAAAGGGGCAGACTTGCCTTCCACTCTTTGCAGCGCTCCTCGAGGTACTGTACATGCAGCTCCTCTCGCCCTGCAGGAGGATGCGCCATGTCCCAGCCGCACCATAGACGACTGCATACGAGTGGACGATATACCCGAGCTGCTCCTTGGTGCACAGATCGTTGCAGGGGAAGCTGAAGCACGTAGAGATGATACCTGCATAGCACTGGGAGAATACTTAGTATGCTGACACGGTTCGATTGAATCCGAACCAGTCTCGATCCTTATCCTTATCAATGTCCACATAAAGAGCGTCCTCTTCACGGGAACGACGGATCCCTTGGAAGATAAGACTTGTGGGGTTGCATTAGAGTGGGAGGGGTTCCGATTCCATCAATGAGCACCCCGACGTGTGCTTAAGGCAATCCTTTCCGCAGCGGTCTCTTCGACCAAAGCCAGAGGTCGTCCCTGACATAGTGGGAGAAAGATAAGTCAAAGGAGCTATACCACAACAGTTTTGAGCTACATAGTCAGTTTTGCTAAATATCCCAGCACATACGACCACAGGGTGTGGAAAACAGGGCTTCCCGTCCGCTCAGCCGTACTTAAGCCACACGCCGGGAGGTTAGTAGTTGGGTGGGTGACCACCAGCGAATCCCTTCTGTTGTATGTTTTTGGGTCGGTTTCGACTCGATCTTCACTCTCTTGGTCGCACGGAGATCCCAAGAAATGTATTTTCTTTTTTACAGTCCGTTCGAGTAACCATATCGATTGTACTGCACTCTGCCTCCCATATGATGATTCTCTATGTAGGAACGACACTTAATCGCGCAATGTATGCACTGTTATTTTATCCTCCGTGGAGTGCATCTACGATCCTGTTAGTGGTCAAGATGTGATGGACCTGTCAGAGAGTCAGAGACAGACCAGGGTGGGTGGCGCATGGCAGGTCCCATACGAGGTTTCGGCCCGCGTCAACGGCAAAACTCCCCACTATCGGACCCAATTGACAGTACTGTCACTGGTCAGCGACTTCAATCTCGTATCTCAGACATCAAAGGAACAAAGAACCATCGGTTACTACAGTGTAACAGCGCAAGGCAAATTGAAGCCCCACTGCTTTTTTCCGTTGTGAGTGGCTCCTAGTATTCTCAAGGATCAACATTGTAATTGGTTTGAATCCTTGTTTACTCCACACTTGGTAATAGTTTGTGTAGCTGCCACCTAGCCCCCTTCTGCAGGTGCATGTTAGAATCTAGAACCCGAGGTATGTCCATGCATTGATATCCTGATAGGGTACAAAACCTTCATAGACAGGCGTGGTCCTTTTAGGCCTACGTGCAAGTAACACAGCCGATGTAACCTGGCAGACAGCTAATTGTGGCTGCGTGATGTCTTCGTATGACATGCACCTGAACGATTACAAATCTGCAGGGGTCCATTGAAAAGTGGTGAGATTAGATAAGTAACTAAAACCATGACAAATGGCCACTAACTTAACTAAGACTAAATTGCTTCTTTAGCCATCCGGACTTCTCAGCCTCTTGCTTGTCAGCCTCTTTCTTGTCAGCCTCTTTCTTCTCAACAACAACACCCATCATAGCAGAGTCGCAACCTGTTTTCCAAATCAGAGTTCCCTTCACTATGTCTTCAGCAAACCTCCCGGTGATTGTTATCGTTCCAGGTGCCTACGGCACACCCGAAGGGTTCGAGAAATTGCAACCGTACTTGAGCCAAGCCGGATACGCAACACACCCCGAATCATACCCCAGCTGCAATCCCTCGGATCCGGCCAACGTGTCCTCTGCCCAAGATTCTGCTTTCTTGCGCGACAACGTCTTACTCCCTCTTTTGGACGAACAAGGTAAAGATGTCGTCATCATCGCACACTCATACGGGGGTGTAGTTGCCGGCGGCGCAGCAAGAGGACTTGCAAAGGGAACGAGAAGAGCCCAGGGTCAAGCGACTGGCGTCATCGGCCTTATCTACGTGGTGGGCAATATCGCCCTTGAGGGAGAGTCGCTCTTGACTGCTGTAGGCGGCGCTTACCCTCCTTTTATCACCGCCGACAAGGTACGTACGATCTACCCAGAACAACCGCGATCATGACCATAGGCCATTGTATTGATACTTTTTTTTTTCCCATTTTCACTCGCTCTCAGCCTTCGCAGGGACTTTCTCTCATCGAACCAGCAATGGATATTTTGTACAATGACTGCGACCGTGCCCTGGAGCCGGAATTGGCGAAGTTCATGCAGCCACACGCACTCCGAGCCTTTGTGACCCCCGCCACTGCCCCGGCCTGGGCGGAGAGTGCATTCGATGGGAGGAGGGCGTATGTGCGTGCACTGGACGACTGCTGTAACCCTGTGTCGTTGCAGGATCTGTGGCTGGAGAAGTCCAAGGTCAAGTGGGAAGTGGTGGACTTTAAGACCGGACACATGCCGTTTGTGAGCCAGCCTCAGGCTTTGGCGGAGCAGATCGTCAAGTTCATTGATGGGTTTATTGCAAAGTAAATGGTGATGAATCCCGTGCCCACAGCGTGGTGCAGAAATCCAAATAGACATCGGCCAAGATTGTTGTGCTCGACAAACTGTTGCTACCAATTGACACATTTTTCTTAAAAATAACGAACGTGGTCAACTTGAAAAGCCTTTTGATAGGGATGAACCAAGAGAAGTGACTTTTATGCGATCCGCCGAAATGGATGTGCTATTCTCCACCGAATGTCTCCTACGGTCTGTAGCTGCCACGTCATTAGTAAACATTCAATCATAGGATTTGACATATTTAGTATATCCTCACTTGGCTAGTAGAGAGCCGTGCTTCAACGTTGGTACTTTGTTTATACCGCACGCGCAATCGGCTATTCATATTCTGGGTGCCTCAGGTATCTGTGAGCGGATGCCTAACAGGCCACCAAGGCGCCTTTCACCCGCACGGTACCTGGTGATCGCTGCCACAGTTATGCGGTTGTATGTTTCTTCCCCCCTCTTCTGCCTTTTTGCTTTGTCAGTCCCAGTGGAGGCTCGTCAGTGCAAAGGACATGGGATTGCCTTTGTGTCCATCCTTCGCGCAACAGATGCCGGAAGAGACGTAAACGACCGCAGTGAGAATGCTTGGTGAGGCTCCCAAATCTAGTGCAATACTATGCTGTCGCGGTAGCGTCTTTGATATAGGTGTGACGAGCCAAGTTTTCCGGAACCCTGTTCACTATAAGTGCAACGGTACCTTTTTCCGAGAAGAAGATCCCCCGCCCTTTGGGGTATTCTAGATATAGAAGTGTATCCTCTATCACTGACTGGGCTTTCGGGGCCTCGGACATTCGGGATCCTGGCAATGGGAGTGAGGAAAGTGAGGCGGGGAGGCCAATACTTGGGGCATGACGTCGTAGAACACTGGACCAGTGTCAATGATACCATAACCAAGACTTAGTAAGGATATGGCTTCGGCAGGGGAATAGGCATAAGATGTTGTGGTAGGATAAGGGAACGTCTGATTAATTGGATGTCTGGCAGGCAACCACGAAAAGAGACAGAAAAGCTCAGGAATGGGGACTCTCGGTACGACGGATCATATGAAATCATAAATACTGCTTCCCTATCTCCAGTAGGTATAGTTGCATACGAGGACAAGGCGAAGGGTGCGGGACTTAGTCGCCGATCTCTCGGGATCGGCATCTCGGAGCCTCGGAACACCTCCCGATCGATCCATGACCGGGCTGTCGGGAGGAGACAACTAACCCTCTGGCATTCCCTAGACGTGGATCATGACAGCACGATATCCAGCGGATTGCCGGTTGATATGCCGCTGTGGGGGTTACAGGTGCCAATATCTTGAGCATATAAAGTCCCTCAATCTCTGACCGTCAAGGCATGCTAGCAAACCTCTCACACACAGCCAAAGAGCCCTGCCAACGAAACACATCAGCGAAGATGTTCTATCAACCCGGAGTGACCGAGCATGGACTACCGCATGACCCCTTCAAGGTCTGAATGCACTCCCAAACGCAGTCACCGCACCTCACAGCCACTGACCCCAAGAAAAATGCAGGCCTGCGTTGTTCCCCGCCCGATCGGCTGGATCTCCACCAAGAACAAGAAAGGCCAGTGCAACCTGGCGCCGTACTCGCAGTTCAACAACCTGACGTTCGACCCGCCCTACGTGATGTTTTCCTCCAACCAGACGGCCCAGGGAATCCGGAAGGACACGGTCATCAACGCCGAGGAGACGGGCACCTTCGTGTGGAACCTCGCCACCTGGGACCTGCGCGAAGCCGTCAACATCACCGCGGAGCAGACCCCCTACGGCACCGACGAATTCGAGCTTTGCAAGATCACCAAGGAGCAGGCCACGTTGGTAGATGTTCCCATGATCAAGGAGTCCCCCGTCAAGTTTGAGTGCGAGTACCACACTACCGTCCGCCTGCCGGGCAACCCGCCCATGGGCACCGTCGACATCGTCATTGGGAAGGTGATCGGCGTGCACATCGCGGACCGCGTGCTCACCGACGGCCTGCTCGACATCAAGAAGACGCAGCCCATCGCGCGCTGCGGCTACTACCAGTACACTGTGGTGAAGGACACCTTCGAAATGATCATCCCCAACATGTCGGCCGATGTGCTGTATGGGTTGGAGGGGAATGCGGCGAGGAATCGCAGCAAGAATGAGGCAAACAAGGCGGCAGCGGGTCAGGTGTCTGAATTTCCTGAGAAGGATTCCTAAGTGGGTGAAGGATATGGATGAGTGGTAGATCTGGTTGCATCTGAACCATTGATAAGTGTGAGACAGCAGACTCATTGTTGCACCCACTACCTTGCTGGGTGTTTGTACGTAACCGTATTAAGAACTTACCAATGTAGTGAAATAGGAAAAAAAGGGGGAGGTTTTCTTTTTCTCTCTCTTTTGTTGTTTTACCCTGATTACTCGGGGTTACAACGATCCACCTCTTTGTCAACCAAGAAGAGAATGATAAAGAGAAAAGAGGTATTTGGGGATGTGGAAGGCGTACGCATATAGTGCTCAGTAGGTATCAAACTCAGAGTCATAGTCTTTGGCTTGTCTTCTGACTCCCAGGTTCTCCAACCAAGGAGTTTTGTCCGATTCGTGTGGAGAACAAAAAGCGGCAGTGCTGCGGATGCCATGTCAACCTCTTGCCAAAGGGAAGCCTTCGCGAAAGTGACCACAACAGGCCTCGGAAACGGGCCGATTGCAGACAAGGTACATACCCAAGTTTCAATTTTCGTATTGGTATTTTTATGCGCCGTAAGGGCAGTAAGAGGATTCTCGACATACTGCTGTACACATTCAGAAGCGTAGGCATTTTGTGACATTTGTCTGATTTGGACTTGACCGACAGGCTTATTCTGTGTACAGTACAGTCTATCAAGAAGATAATTTACGCTTCAATGTGGATTGCTACCCGTGCCTACAAAAGAGTCATGGGGGAAAGCAAGCAGAGCTTGTGACTTCGCTTCGAAGTGCAGGCAAGAAAATCAAGGTAGTGAACTTGTGCAAAATGCGTTGAAGCAGATTATGCGATAAATCAAAAAAACCACCTTAAAGACACAGACAATCACGTATTCAGGTGCAATCCGTACTCAAACTGGAGTCTTCTTCCGTTAGCCAGCCCTTCCCCTGCTGGTTTCAGATCCATTCTTGCCGGAAGGGTAGATATACCTCGACCAAAGGGAGAGCGTTGAAGCTAGTTCTCGTTGTCAGCGGCTTCCCCATCGCGTTTCTCGGCGCCCTGATAGGCAGTGTAGAAGAAGCGCTTGTCGAGTGCCTCCTCATCACGCTTCTCTGGGGCAACATAGTGGGTAT